ATCCCTTCCTTTCAGCTATTAAAAAAGGTGATTTACAGAAATTCAAGACACTGAAACAAAAGGGATTTTCCAGTGCTTGCAGAGTGCAGCTTCCAGGAAGATGTTGGGATAAAAATGCTTTCTTGTGGCTAAGACCCTGGGCCTGGAATCCAAATGAATTATATGTTTCAGAGCCAGGTAGTGTTGCTTATCCAGTCTTCATGTTCAGGAAGAAATCACAAATTTATAACCTTTCTGAAGATGATCAGGAAGGACTACATTCAAACACAAGTACTTGTACCCCGTAGATGGTACTGACTCTATTATCCAGTGAATGCTTATCCATTCTGTGTATTCTCCAGATTTGTAACTTTCTCTAGACAGATGGCATCAGCCTTGTATGTAGGTGAAGTATGCAGGAGGGCAAAATTGCTTTAAAAACCAACCAACCAAATCAGATAAGCAAAACTTCCAGCAAGACATTTACTCTTAATATTATAGACATTGTGAGCAGATATTAAAATAGCATTGTTACCTGAGAGGGAATTTGTTTCAAACATGAGGACCAATCTGATTTTGAATTAATTTAGCAAGGGCTAAGGATACTGAGGGTCGAACACAGAACATGAGAGCACTGATGGGGAGTGAAAGGTGTAAAGAGTTCTGGGAATGTGGTCTTGTCCAGTATAACAAGGCTGCAGCAGTGGACTCTGGGCAGTTAGGTGGAGGTGGAGGCGTGACTAGGAAGAAACGGGTACAGGTACATGGGAAGGTTTGTTACCAAAGGCGCTCAATTTTCCAAGCCCTCTAGCTCAGCTTCAGCTTGTCATACAAACCTTAACTTTAAACCATTTCACTGCATGTTAGCATCTTTCCTACTTGATAAGAAAGAGTGAGAATGTGGGTGGTTAAAGGACTGAGAGATCATTAGAAATGAGTAGTTTTTATTCTGAGTTAGTTTATGGTAAAAGGGATTGGAAGAGACGAACTATCCGCTCAAGTTTTCCCTCACAAGAATGAAGAGTAGAAAACAGCACACGCCAGCTACTGAACAGGGTGCGGCCACATTTTCATTTCATAGTTGTCTTTCCACATTTCGTAGCTCTAATCTGTACACAGCTGACTTACTGAGGACATAAATGCAAACCTCAAACCAATGCACTAACCCGGTATTGCCTGGCCTGAGGTCCTGTTTTCTACATACAAACAACTGAATACGGGGAGTGTGTTAAAAGTAAGGCAAGGGCTTTCGTAGGGTATCCTTGGTGGTTCCCAAATCTGGCATTATCTCAGAAATTCGTTTTGAAAAATACGGATTCCCTAATTCTTAGCCCTTGAAAAACTACTAAATTAGAATTCACAGATGTCTGAAAATCTGATTTTTTGTTGTTGTTGTAGACAAACCACTCAGGTATTGTCGATGACCGGCCATGTCTGGGAACCATGGCTATTCTAATTCCCTTTGTAGTTTTACAAAAGTATTAATAGTCCTATTTTATATATAAAGAAAGCTGAGGACCAGAAGTAGTAAACTGCTCCAAGTAACACCACTGGTAAAGAGCCTTAACTGGCATCAAACCTAGCTAGGTTCATGACCAAAACATCTACCATCCCTATAGTAACAAATTTTATCAGGCATTTACTTCACTCTGTCTCAAAGCCACTAACTTCTCACTAAGAAGCTATTTTCCTTAGAAGATTGTTCACTCACATGCACATTTTAGAAGCAGGCAACAAGTTTTGGGGTGGTCTTTCTTTCCTCTGTCAAAACTTCTCCTCTCATCCACATTAAGAGGCTAATGATGCTCCCAGCCTCCTGAGATTTGTATGTAGTTCCCATTCTCCCACATCAGAAACCTATCTGAACTAAGCTTTCGTCCCTCAGGAACTGGGTGTTTATGATCAATAGAAGCCAGTGAGAAAAGATAGAAGATAAACCTGCCAGAGCCTCCTCTTTCCTGGCGACCAATTTCATTGTCCCCCAAGGCCACCCAGCCACCTCCCACCTTTACCCTGAAGTTCATCTTTTAAAAAGGCTTTCATTTACCAAGCAAACTGCTTGTATGAATAAATGACTCTACCATAAAAAAAAATCTGCAATTCCAATCAGTGCTTTGATAAATGTGAGATAACTACAGTGGATACAGTTCCATCCGTCCAAGAGCAAAAAAAAAACCCCCAAAACAAAAAAGACCCTGTTTTTGTTAGTCAGCACAGCCTGATTCTGGCTATAAGTACATATTTCCTTAAACTTCTTAAAATAATAAAAAGATCTTACGGAAACAAAGGATGGCTGGGATTTCATTGTAGGAATAACTGTAACTAACAGAATCATTCTAACAGTGAGAATCTCAGACACAGTGGAGGATTTTACCACTTACCACGCGCTCCAGATCTTTGCCCCGATAACAGCTACATACTGTGCTGTGCATCAGAGCTGCCCCACATTAGTCACTACAAATTCAGGGGAAAACAGTGTAGATAAAGTCATCAGGGTTAAAAAATCTCAAGATTTGTTCAGATGCATTCACTATCTTAGGAAAAGAGGGAGAAAAACAACGGAGGCTCCCTATATCTTATGGGATTCGCAAACCAAGTTCCTAAGAAACACCTGGGGAACTTGTTATAAAATAACATTCCCAGCTTCAACTTCCAGAGATGACAATTCTTCATTCTGAGCTGAGGCTTGGGATTCTGCATTTTCATGAAGCATGTTGGGTGATTCTGATGCAAGTTTTTTCCTTAACTTTCTGTTTTAAAATTTTCTCAAACCTTAGGAAAGTTCCAAGAACAGTACAATAAACATTACTGTATCCTTGATTGAGATTAAGGGTCAGCAAACTTTTTCAGTAAAGGAACACAGTAAATATTTTCGACTTTGTAGGCCACATAGTTTCTGTGGCAACGATTCAAATCTGCCATTGCAATATGTAAGCCAGTCAACATGTGAGCAAATGAGTGTGGCTCTCTTCCAATGAGACTTTATTTATGGACATAATTTCACATCATAAATTACTCTTCTTTTGACTTTTTCCGATGTGTCAAAGATATAAAAACCATTCTCAGCTCAAAATTGGCACAAAACCAGTCAAGAGGACAGTTTTGGCCTATACAGTCAGTTTGCAATCCCTCATGAATCAATGGTGATTGTAAAGTCTAACCTCTTCTGAGGAAGAGCTTCAAATTTATTACTTTTCATATCCAGACTAATCATATTGTCCATCGTAGGAAATTTTAAAAAGCAAATCTATGAAGTTGTTTTCTGACTCACTCTTTGCTGTATTTCCAGATAAAACATTTTCACAGCTTGCGATGGCTGATATTTTTGGATAACCTGTGGGGCACAGTTCTTCATTTAGAAATCTTCAGTTTGGTCAATTCTCTAATTTTATCACATAAAAAAGTGTGAGTGTCCTTCCCCACAACCCCAGGGCCTAATTAGCATCCTCCCCCCGCCCCACACCACTTCTCTCTCATATTAAAGTGAGGGCAAAAATTTCTTCCACCCCAATGACTCTAATGATCCAGCAAGATATGAACAGTGTTTTGTTATTTATGAGTGAAGGACTGGGTTTGCCTTTAATTTTCTCCTCCCCCTCTTTTGCTGAAAATTAGCTCCAGCCCAGACTGTCTGCTCACATTTTTAGGAGACTGGGTTATTACCAAGTAAGACTAACAGCAATGACACAAATCTGTTACCCAATTACTTTCATCCAGTCCTCATCTCTAGGGGAATTTCTCTTATTAAACATGGTTTCATAAGTATCTAAAAGCTAAACAAGAATTTTGGAGGATAAACTCTAACTCTGCATCATGAAATCAACAAACATTGTCACAATGGAACCTAAGTACTTAACTACTAAGACCAAATGCAAAAATAGCTCTTTAATTAAGTAAGTGCATTCCTGGCTTTTGAAATGCCTTTCAACTGGACTTACCCACACATTACCTCATCACTTAAGGAATGAACACCTAGTTATCTGAAGCATTCAAGCCTCTGCCCATCACCTCCTTGCCTACCCCTCCTCCAAACAAGGCAATCCATTTAATGGCATAAGGGTGTTTGCTCTCTTCTGATGAAGCTAGAGAACAGAGGAGTCATAAATACTCCTTCCCCTGTGTCTAAACATCAGCTTAGCGGCTGCTTTGGAGTCATCTTCTATGAGACTGCATCTGCCTTTCATCTCCGCACAAGCACTCTCTTCCAACTTCTGAAGATAATATATGGCATGCTGGCTCAGGTGGAGGGGCAGGAATCTCGCAGCAAAGACTTAAAACTCGAGTCGCTGACATATGAGAAGCCCCTCTGTTTATCATCAGGGGACTGATTTGTGAATGGCCACATTTCTGGAGTTCAACCAACTGCCTCGCCTGATGGAAAATGCTGACAAACTTAGAAATCACCTTTGAATATATTCTCTCAGTAAATAAAACAGATTGCTATCTCCCGATTACCTGAATTGTGTTAGCTTAGATGATCAATTTAACAATGAGACAATTAAGGATTAAAAATTGTATTAAAAAGTTCTGTTAAGACAATAGTGAAATGCGTTGTTTAGGGCTGGGAGTTCTGTAAATAATACAGGAATTGCAAATAAAAATAATAGATAAACATCATTTTGTGTTTGTCACAAAAAAATTATAGACTGAAGTTAAACAGTGGGCCTATTATATTAGTGCAGTGGGTTCCTAAACCTGGCTATATACTAGAATCATCCGGAGAGCTTTAAAAAAATTCCAGTGCCCAGGCTGCACCCCACAACAATTAAACTCAAATGCAGGGGATGAGGATGGGGCCAAGGCCTCCCTATTTTTTAAAGCACCCAAGTGATCTCAATGTGCAGCCAAGGTTGAGAACCTCTGAGAATAGGATCCCTACCATTTTGAAGCTTAGTCTTAAAAAATCCACTTCTTGGACCGTTTCCCTTCCTCATTTCTGCCAATAACTTCTTTACAGTTGGAGTATGGAAATTAAAAATGATAGACTGATTGACTGTTTGCTAGATACATAGTCACACACATTTATAAAAACACAGGCACACATATTTTTATTTAACTTAGGCCCTGATAATTAGCATATAAATCAGAAAAACTGAGTGCTTTGAAATGATTACACATCCTCTCCAAATCTTTAAAGAGCCAAACTCTAATAAACACACATAAAAAAAATATTTAAGTCATAAACACACATACAGACTTTAATCACCTTCAGGAACCATGATCCAATAATATATTTAATAGGTAAGATCTCATTCATCAATATACAAAAAATAACAAACATCATCATCAACAAAAAACCCTAAACTTTGATTAAGATGTGTGCCCTTAGGAAGAGCACGTACAGTTAGAAAAGTTTATCGGTAGTACTTTGAGGTAGCATATTTTGTAAAGGAACAGAAGTCACAGAGCTTCTCCTGGACACAAGAGACAGGCCATCAGCTGTAGCTCCTGGTAGAGGAAAGTGAATTTGTATTCATTGCCAGAGTCAGCCTGAATGCACTTCCTACTATCTCGCTGCAGCCATCCCTCCACTACACTTCATGAATTGTGGGTTTACAAAAAGGTAAAGAAAGGCATTTTGATGCTTCTTTATTCTTTCCGTGGTGATAACCTGGGCCAGGAGCCAGTCTCCTTCCGCCACTTGCAGTCCTCACTGGCAGGAGACGCATGCACCCAGTGAAAGGGAATAGGGTGTCACGGCACCATTTTTTAATTGTCTCTAACAATTTAATTAAGAACGACTCCTCTAAGGCTATAAAGATGTTCATTTCTGAATGTTCCTTCTATGATCTGGCCCTTAAAAGACTCCCTTTTTTCTCCCCCTGAATTACAATATTTTGGGGTATCATTAAGCTTTCTGCAATTTTCTTGGCAGGATGTTGAGCAGAAAAGTTTTTAAAAAAAATCTATACATAAAAACAACAAAAAACTCAGGTGCAGGAGCAACTCTAAGAACAGACTTCCTTTGTGCAAGTTGAAATGACTTGAGTTTACAGTTCAGGAAAACGGCCTGCTTCTTTTTCAAAAAAAAAAAAAAAAAGTAAATATTCAGCTCAGCTCTGCATGTTAAACACCAATATACAGATACAGTCAAAACAGGTTAAGGATTAAAGCTGCAAAAATGGTCCCAACAACCTCAGACCTTGGTGCAGGTCAAATTTTTGCCCAATGGTTACAGATTAAAGGGATGTCTAATCCCTAAAGCCCTTTTGTCCCAATGTACTTCCTGTTGGAAAGCTGAACCCTTAGAAGGAATCAATATACAAATGAATAAAAATAGCACATGTCCAGGCAAAAGAAAGGGCATGAGCTGGGCCTGAGTTGCCACTTTAAACTCTATCATTCGGTAGCATTAAAAAACTCTCAAAGGCTGCCCAGAACCAGGGCTCAAGGCATCAATGAACATGCCAGCCACCCAAGGTACTGCTAACCTCAAGTCAACGACACAAATGAGTATTAGACTTCAAGTATCCAAGATGCTCCAAGAGCTGGTCCTCTCAAGGACTCAGGCTGACTCTCAGAAGCCCCCACCTGACCCCACTGCACAACATCCTATAATATAAAAGGTGAAGCACTGTTTATGGTCACTACAAAACACTGAGGTGGAAAGTGAGGAATAAGAGAACTGCCCTCTAAATATACCAGCCTAACAAATACAAATAAATTCTTTAACATTTTGTACAACTAGAAGGTGCATGAGCTGGTATTCAAGCTATCGCTTTAAACTCTTTTCTCCTCTTTCTGTATCAAACAGGAAAATGGTTCCGTTGGGTTAACAGTGTCATTTAAAAATGCCATAAATTAAATAAGTTAGTTCACATTTTTTCCCCCCAGCACTTAAGTTACAGTTAGTCTCTAATGTGCTTTTGAAGTTTGCTTTAACAGCTCCAGGTCTCTTCTACGGACAGTGCCAGCTCTGTGACAAGCATATTCCTCCAGCTGCAAAGGTATAAACTGTTCCAGCAGCCCAAGGCCCTGTCCAGCAGGACTGGTCAATAGCTTAGTCCATGATGGTTTAGAGTTTCCGCTGAATCCCAAAAATATGGTACTCCCTGGGAAAAAAAAAAAAAACAGAAAAGTTCAATTTGTACATCTACCAGTTCTAGGCAAGGTAATGTCGGAGGTAAGCAAAACAAAGACAGCTATAAAACAAAACAAAACAAAAAACTACACTTCCTTACGTTAGCAAATGAACTCTTAACCACCCACCTCGTTCTTCAAATAACAAACCACATCCCAACACACTTCCTCTAACACTGTCTCCTTATTTAGAATTTATCTTCATGAGACCTACTCTAGAAAAACAAGCTCATAAAAATGGTCTGGTAGCTACATTCTGCCATAAAAATGCATGTGTTGCTGGCCTCGTAAGAACTTCTTAGAAGAATACAAATACAAACCTTTGTTATAAAGATGAGCTGGTTTGGCTAATCCCAGAGGTACTAATGAATCTGAAATATTCAAATGCTTTATTTCTCCTCTTGTGCTCAACAAAACGACAGATCTGTATGTAAAAATTAGAAAATCAGAGCAAATTTCAATCATTTAGCATGTATTTATTGGTTTCCTTTCTGAACTGAATACAGTATAGAAATACTAAATAAGCACAGAACTCAAACAAAACCAAAGAACCCAAGTGTTGTCTAATCCTTGCTGTTACAAGTTCTCATTTCCTTTCCCCACTTCGAACTTATGTTGCTATTACAAGGGGGTCTCCATAAGTAGGGAAAACAAATGTCATTTAGGACAGCTGACCTAGTAGTTGGCTTTGGGACACAGCTCTTTCATGGAATGAAGTATTATAACAGGGGAGGTTGGTTTTGTATGTTTTCAGATGTTCTATGTTTCTATTTATGAAATAAATAAATAAACATCAACTCTAAAAAGAAAATAAAATCTGTTTCCCTGTGGTTTGGTTTAAATTTTCAATTATGCAGCATATCAATATACATACTCAGATCTGTTTGTGGATTCTCTCTCCTCTGCCAGTACTATGCTGGCTTAATAAGTATGGCTTCATGGTTTATTTTACTATCTGACAAAATAGGTCCCTTGTATTATTGTGATTTATTTAAAAATTGTATTTTATTATTCTCCCACATTTATTCTTCTGGATGAACTTCAGTGTCATCTGTGAAGTACAACAGAAAAGTAACCTATTGGGACACTGATGGAAATGTATTAAATTTGTTTTAATTTAGGTGAAGTGACATCTTTCCAACATTAATTTTTCCATCCAGAAATAGGAAGAGTCTCTCCTTTTATTCAACTCTTCTATATATCCTTTCATTTTATTTTCTTAATACAGGTCTTGACATTTCTTATTAAAATTCTTAAGTTTTAGATTGGTGTGTGTGAATTTTTGTTGAATTCTTTCTAAAGCAGTGATGACTCAATTCAGATTCAGACCGGAGGTCTGACCATAGCAACCCTGTAGGCCTGACCTTCCTCGATGGGTCACAACAACACAGGCTCATCCCATGAGATCACTTACAGGTCTCCCTCACCCCCAACATCCTCACACGTGCCCAGTGTCACTAGAAGTCGTCAGCTGCCCCTTAAATTCCTAACACTTCGTTAAATACAACATATAAACAGAATAGTATTCCTAAGTGTACACCACATTAGATTTTTGCAAATTAAACGTAGTTGTGTAACCAGCACCCAGACCAAGAAACAGCACTACAAGTATCTCAAAAGCCTTTTTTGCAGCCTCTTCCTAGAAACAAACTAGTGACTTTTTAATGAGTTGGTTTTTACTTATAAATCTATAGGGTATCTGCAAGAAATATTTGTGGTGAGCTTTATGCCCTGGACTGTTTTAGGTGGAGTAAGAGCATATCTTTTCAACATTAGGAAAAATCCTAAAATCCTTAAAAAAGACTGAGGCCTTGGAAAAGAATTCCCTACAAGTGTCTTAAACCAGAAGATAGAACTATTCGTATATACTGAATATGACATTCAAATAATCCAATGACTTTATGGGACTTATTGAGATCTGGGTCTATAATGTGTAAAGAACATAAGTGATCAGATCGACTGATTATGGTTCAAAAGGTAGATGGGTCTTTAACCCCTGGGAAGTGTATGTTCTTCCCTTAGCGACCTCATTCAACAATGTCCGAAGCCAAAGAAGCAGAAAAGAGTCTGAATTCATCTCCTTGGCCCCAGGCAGGGTCTGACCAACATAAAAAAAAAGAGATTTCTCTCCTGTGCACCTTTCTTCAGAGACTAACAAAGAAAAACTAATTAGTCTAGGGCTCTTAAAAGAGAGACCACACACTCATTCACTTAAAAATCAATTTACTCCTTCTTAGTCACTTGCAAGTGACCCAGGTGATGACTTCATATACCATAGTCATAGCACAAAACTGCCTGAGGGTCAATCAATCAGTGGGACCGATGGCTACAAAGGTAAAAATGTCTATAAAATTGCTTTAAAATGGTAATGAGCTTTCTGAGAGAATTGAGTACAATGTAGAGCAACTTAATACTAAAAAGTAGGATAGTAATGTTCCAAAATATGGAGCTTTTCTCCTTCTTAGAGCCTTCCCACCATTTGCAAACTCTTCTAGCTTCCAAGTTCTCACTGTTGGCAAGCAGAGGTTTACACTGATATGCAGCTTAGAGCACACAGGCATCAATCTGAGATGGGGAAGAAATGAAAACCGTTCAAGAGTCCTAAATGTCCACGGAGTACAAGGGCCGGTAAACAAACCAAGCTTAGAGTGAACCAGGTGTAACTTTTAACATGGCTTGCTCCTCTGCAGAGCGAGTTTCACCTACCTTGGCGGGATGCCTGTTCTTAAATACTCATCCATGAGACTGACTTCAGCGAGGGGAAAAAACCTGTTTTTGGTCAACTGGAAGGGAACACTGCAGGCATCCACAACAAGGAGAAGGACACCTGCACTTCGGAAGGTAAAGTCAGTGCCATTGACCTGAGAACACAAAAATGTCTTGAGCTGTCACCGTTTCACTATCTCCAGGAGAATGAACCTTTCTAGCCCCTCTCCTCTGCCTTCTAAGCCCACGAATCACATTATACCCAGGATTCAAATTGTATACCCGTTTACTTTTTCTGCCAATATTTGAAACTGTGCTGTGCTCTCACAGACTTTGCCTCAAGTGCACTTTACTGACTGGCTAAGATGCTCTGAGCATGGCATGGCAGCCTGCACTTGGCTGAGCAGGGTGACTCTCTGCACCTTCATTCTTACACACACACTCTCCCATCACGGTCAAAGCTTTGTAACTTAGCAATCAGGTGGCGGCCTCTTCTCCATATTGCAGCTCAGCACACTTACTGTCACAATGCTTGAGAAAAAATATACTTTAAATACACATTAGAATTTAGGTTTGGAACATCAGAGGAGCCAGATTGCTTCATCTCCTTTGTTCCATGTATAGCTGTTCTTTAAAATCAAAATGGAAAAGTGGTAATTTTACTAGGATGTAAGCCACAACGTATTACTACTATATTAAGGTACAAGTATATTACTCTACCATATAATTCCCAGTCGGCCTCTTTAAATTAATGGTTTGAAACCTTTTCAAGAAAAAAGAATGCCAGACATATCCAAATATCATTAATTCCTCAGCCAAAAAGAAAGAAAAAAAACTTATTAGACTGACAAATGATTCAACACTAATGTAAGCCATAGGCACTGTTTCTGGTTAAAATATGTAAAATTATATACACTAAAAGCTAACAAAAGAGAAATACTGTCACCACTACACTTGCCCTTGCTAGAGGAAATTATATTTAAATTTTATTTCTAATCACTACTAATCTCCCAAGAATCAAAATGGCCTTTTAGCTGTGTTTAAATTGCTCTAATCCAGAGGATGATTCTGGAAATGCTTGGAGTACAGTGCTATTTTATATTTGGAAAGACTGGAAGTAATTCTCTTATTATTAAAAATCCAAATACTTAATATTGAGATGCATTTGAGAAAAAATATAAAACCCTATGGCTTAAAGGGAACACAAAACTTCCCTTAAAAATAAATAAAATAATGCCATGTCCTAACAAAGACTCTTCAGGTAATGCATGTGAAAAGTGTTGGAAGTAAATATGACAAAATACTGTGTTCTATGACATTTCTAGGATCCCAGGCACTGGTACAGCAATAGGGTTAAACGATGTCTTCTAACTCTGGTGCACAGCCTGCTCGAGATGTTTTAGACAAAATAATATCTTCCTTAATTATCTAGTAAGCACATAGCACAGGAAATATAGTCAATAATATCATAATAACATTGTACAGTGACAGATAGTTATTAGATACACCATGGTGATCACATCATAAGGTGTATCACTATGTAGAATCATTATGTTGTATACATGAAACAATGCAATATTACATGTCAATTATATTTCAATTAAATTTTTTTTTTTTTTACCTAGTGCATGGGTTTTAGCAGTGAGCAGCCAACACTTGCTTCTCTTATACAAGTGACTGCCACCAGATACCAAGCTAGCAGGCTGGGGTCAGCTTCTTCATGCAGCTGACTGCATGAAGATGTTGAGTTAACAAATCTCATGTCAATAAAATTACCTCATAAACATACTACAAAATGAACGATTGCTAACATAGGGCAATAGGTATAAATATATACTTGAGAAACCTTTGAGTTACATTTAAGTAGGGATAGTCTATTTATTCTTAAGGTTTTTTTTGTTTGTTTTTTGTTTTTTTTTTTAACATGAGACCTATCCTCTTAACAAACTTTGAGTGCACAATAATACATTACTAGTGACTACAGAGACCATGTTGTACAGCGGATATCGAGAGCTTATGCATCTTACTCAATTGAACTTCATGCCTGTTGATTAATAACTCCCCATTTCACAACCCCATCCTTAAGTGAGGATATTCTTAATGCAGAGTTGCTAAAAAGTCAGATTTACGTCTTGGAGATGGAAGGTGATGATGGCTGTACAACGTGAATGTACCGCATACCACTGAACTGTACACTTAAAAATAGATGAGATGGTGAATTTTGTGACAAAAAAAAATGGGAAAGAAAGAATGGGTAAGATTTCATTTTTTCCACGTTTATGTGGATTTGTGATTGTGCTGCCCACCACTTTCAAAACAAAACAAAACAAAACCCTGTGCTCCTAAACAGACTATGTGAGACTGGGCCCAGGCCGTGGCTGGAAATAGTTGAGTGGCTAGATACCTGTTACCCAAAGAAATCTTTATATGGTGATACTCAGGTCAACCTGATTTTGGACAGGCCACATGCCAAGAGCTGGTTACCACTGGCTAGTTTGGCTCTTAGCCTAAATTCTAGGATTGACACTGAGGCTCAGGCCTATATTTCTATTAACCCACCTAAACTAGCACTTTGTATCTTTTTCTTCATCCAGAAAAGTGGGAGCCAGGCAACTCCAAAATAAAAGGCCAGGGAAAAATTTTAAACCTTACATTTTTAAACAATCAACTTGGCAGCTCTTTTAAGTTTCAAAAACCAAAGTTAAGCATAGTTTACTATATTTTGACTATGTGTGGCAATTATTTTTTTAACCAAAGATGCCTTTTCTCTTATTGAAATAAAAATCTGGGTTATCTGTAACACTATTAATAAAGTAAAAATAATGTGAATAAATTTTAACATTTATCTGAAAGTAATCAATAAACAGTCTACTGAGGAAAAAAATGTTTTAGTATATTACCTAATTTATTTAAAAATGCAAATGTTTAGGAGGTATTTATACCTCTATTGCTTGCTACCAAGAACCAAAATGTGATTACAAACAAGTGACTGTTGCCAGAGATGATTCATGTCACCAGGATGAAATGTAAAAGTGAGCAGCTGAGGCAGTACACATGCCAGATGGTACTTACAGAGATGACAGACAGGTCTCCACGCTTAATCTCTGCTTTACTGGGTGACTGGAATTGCACGGGGAGGTAGCTTTTATGAGGATCACTAGTAAACACCACCTAAAAAGGGAAGAAGTGACATATTTATGTCAACTGCATCTTCCTCCAAAAGGGTGCCTCAAAATAAACTCAATTATATCAAACCCAGTAGGTGTTTTTTTCCTGAATATTTTGCACATTTTTCATGACCTGGAATTCCATTTTTGATATAGGATTAACACAAGAAGTGTATGTTTCTCATTTCTCCTTTTCTAGAACAATCCCACTGTCAAATAATTGCAATCTTGTTAAAATCAATTCTACAAAAGACTAAATGGTTTATATTTAGATCTTTGTAAATATTTTATGCAAAAACAGTCACAACTCTTTTTAAAGGTTTTAGAGACCAGTTATTGAGTCAGTATTCAGTCACTCCAAGACTGAGAAAAGAAATATAGAGGACAAGGAGTACCCTTTTAAAACCTTTTTAGTAGGCTTGTGTTCGCCATGTCTAAATTCCTCTACCTGACCTATCAAATGTCCCATAAATCAAGCCATGCCTGATATATAGGCCCCTTTGTCCCATAACATTCAACAGACAGGTCAGCTCCCACAAGTGCTTTACCTCCTTCCTTAACAGTCTACCTTTACAGATGCTGTTCCCTCCCCAAAATGCCCTTCCCTGTTTCCTTCTACTCCTCCAAATCACTCCCAGTCTCCTAATCCCCTCTCCTGCCTCCTCCCTAAAGGCTCTCTTCTCATTCACAAGCACTCTCCACTCTCAAACAATGTAGCACTTCAAGTGTATGTCCTTAAAAATGGATGTCGACAATTTCATTGCAAGAGCAAGTAAATCATGATCCTAAGCATTCCAAAGCTGGACTTTCCTTTTAAGTCTCAGGTTTGGAGTGAAAAATTCATGTGAATTTTACTACTAAAATGTATGTGTTGGTTTTTGATATTCAAAACCAAATTTCTCCACAAATTTCTAAGTATAAAAGTGATGGTCCCAGATGCTTCAAATTCTTTGCAACTACACAAAGTATTCGATACATTTTTAAAAAATAAATTCAAATCAATGCTTCAACTGCAAAGAATAAGGAATGCTAAACTCTAATGCATGGACCCATTTAACAAGATAGGCCTACAATACGTCCAGTGATGATTATTTTTATAAAGTATAATATTTATTCTAATTTTTATTATAAATCATATAAAATCTTTCCAGTAATAAAGGACTTTCTTAAATTCGGTTTGAGAATTATGCTGGAGAATTTAGTTCCCTACAAAGATTATTTTTAAATGTTACTTTTAACTGCCAAAACTACATTGAACAGGTAAGGACACATACAAACTTCATGTGAATGTTTTTTTGTTTGTCTTTTGTTTTAGTTGAATTGGAGAATAGAGGTAGCACAGGAATATGAGACCGAAACTGTGACAGTGAGTTGCATGATGATGCTTATCATAGATAGATCATAATAAGAAATATAAATCCATCTTCTTCTCCCTGTTCTACTGCCACCAATGGGCAGAAACAAATGAGAAAAATTAGAAACAAAGAATTTATACAGCGGAAGAATTTTTGTTTTCCAAAATCACTTAGAATAATAAGATTTAGAGGTTTCCTCCATATTAATAGGCAGTATGAATTTCTGTGGCAACTCTTCAAAAAAAATCCTCTAGCCCAGTGAAACTCAAATGTAGACGTTTATCAGAGTCACCTGCAGGCTTGTTAAAGCACAGACTGCTGGGCCTACCCCCAGTATTCGATTTAGCAGGACTAGGGTGGGGCCAAGAACTCTAATTTCTCATTAATTCCTAGATGATGCTGTTGCTGCTGGTCTGGAGATCACATTTTGAGAAGTTTCCCTTAACCCATATTTGTTTGTGGAAAGATTAACTATTAATCAGGGCAGTATAAATTAACTCTACACTTCTTTTTCACTTAGAATTGATCTGACTTCCTTCGGAAATCCAGGCCTAATTTTAGCCCATATTTTGGATTTACTTTCCTTGCCTTGTTTTTTCAAGATCCAGAAGGAGACCATCTAATATAAGAATATGTCAGGAGAAGCATTTCACTTCTAGCCAAAGTCAGTTTGTACTTTTAATTACAGGTAAATGTAATAGCACATGCTTTAAAATTAAGAGTGGCTTTCCGCCTTAAAAAAAAAAAAGAAACAATTTCCATATGAGTTGCATTTTCAGAAGAGAAATTTCACACTGCCAATAAAACGAAGTATTTTTCTACAGCACTGACATGTAAATCCAGTAGCAATATTGCAACAGAATCACATCTTGAGAAAGAAAAGATGACAATCAATTAATCCAGTCATCCAGGGTAAACTAATGTATCACAGGGAGAAGGTATTTTTATTTCACTTTGGACTAGTCTGCTTCTTATAAGCATCACATTCTAGAATGGGCAAAAATTCAGGAGAAACTTTGCAATATTTATAAATTGGCAACACAGATGTTTCAAAGAAAAATGCATCTATTGCAAAGAAACCTTTTGATTTTTTCTCAGATCACAGCCTACTTTTTCTTTCCCATTTACCTGACGGGTTCCACAGCCTTGACAGAGTCCTGTGAGCATGGCTGGCATACGCTTGAGGGTTGATGGCTTTCTGTAATACTGGGGATATGCTTTGGCCATGCAGTTACTGATGTCTTTTGAGTCTGTCATTGCCTGGATTTTGACTCGTTCGCATCCCTGAGATGAACAGTAACTGTGGCCATCCCTGTGGCCTTGGGCTTTGAGATACAAAAACAGCAACCTGCACAAAACAGAAACCAATCTATTGGGTGTTTGACTCTCAAAAACTTACAAAAATTCCTCAAACAACTCATGGCTAAAAGGGATATTGCTCCAATAAAGTAACTTTTCCTTAAAAGAAAAATAAATTACAAAGCTAATAAAGCTGTTTCCCTTCTATCCTCCTTAGGGTCTTAGGACAAATGCAATACTCCTCTAGAAAATATTTTGATAATCTGATTCAGTCATTCTAGAAGATAACAAAGTTGATTTCTGGTTTGAATTAGTTCAGTAGGTGATTTGAGAGGACAGAATTTGGCTTGGCTCAAATATTTCTTGGAAAACTTTATACTTGTGTTCAGTTTAGAATTCGGTAAATTAATGTGTTTTATTCTCTTTTTTTTTTTGGCTTATAAATCATTTTGGTTTAACGTGCAAAAAATAATAAAAACAGCAACTGTGATTTGTTTGGCTAAGACCAAAATATGGTCTCAAATCAATTCCTGTGATGTTTACTAAGAGCAGATGAGCCTGGGGTCCTTCTGTCTATACTTTGGCCAAAATCAAATGAAATGAACAGTCTCACTGATTCTGAATTATTCTCCTACTGCCAAGATGAATGAAAAAGTAACTTCCAGGCAGCAGTCCAACATCTGTCAGCAGACCTAGTCCTTCTAAACCCAAGGAAGTCAAGATTCTAAAGGACTTGATCAAATGTGGTTGATTATTGAAGATCAAGAATTCACATTTTAATATGAGGTCAATGAACAATACAAAGTAGCAATTATGAGGTAAAAATCAGCCACTGTCCCAGCGCCCAATAATTTTAACAATACATACATAAGGAATATCATGAACCTGATTAGCCATGGGCCTTTTGATATAGAATTAAAATCATCAAAGTTAATAGAATTAAAAAGAACTAGAGCCTCAAAGGCCAAGGATTCTAGAAATACCCAGATGATAAAACATTTCCCATCTTTTTACACATTTAATCATTAATTTGTGATCACTAGACCATCCTTACAAATTTGGGTGTTTCATTTATTTTTGTGAAAAATCAACTGGAAATGTGGAATTTTGTCATCTATAGCAGGGGTCCCCAAACTCTGGGCCACGGACCTGTAGCCTGTTAGGAACCGGGCCAGGCTGCACAGCAGGTGAGTGGCAGGAGAGTGAGCGAAGCTTCATCTGTATTTGCAGCTGCTCCCCAGCACTAGCATCACCGCCTCAGCTACACCTCAGATCGTCAGGCATTAAATTATCATAGGAATAATGGCCCCCAGGGCAAAAAAATTTAGGGACTGCTGATCTATAAAGTAAAAATCCAAGTAGTTGTTTAAGTCTAATTAGAAATTGAAAATCAAAGACAACCATGACAAGAAAAGATTTAGGGTGATTAATTATACTAGCTGCTGGAGGGCAAATAAGTTGCATCTTATTCAAAAGCTAACAAGGCACTTGACTGAACTCCAATCTTATTTCTCTAATCAAACTTGCCACCCTCGCCCCATTCTGAACATTTGTCTTTCCCCAAACATGCCATGCCACGTTCTTCCATGCCTCCATGCACTTATCCACACTATTCTTGGGACACCTTACCCATCTCTATTTCCATCTTCTCCTACTCATTCCTCAAGAGTTCACCCCAGTGTCACCCTCTTGGGATGTTACTGGTTACCCGAAGCTGATATTCTCAGTTACCTCAAAAGGGATACTGCATATCTCACTACAGAACTTTAAGCATTTAAACCTTTCACTCTCTCATTACCTGCTTTCCAAGCTCACATCCTTCAATGGACTGTGAATTCACAAGAAAAACATATCTTATTTACATTAGTGTCTTATGGTACCTAGAAACTTGCATATGGTAGGCATATCAGTTTAAGGAATGGCCACTGAAGAAGCATGCTACTTGATGGAAGAATACAGGAGATCAAGCCTACCATAATACAAAGGCTGAGAGACTGTAACTGGATAAGAGCAGACAAAGCCAACAGGACCCCAGCTGAACAGGATTAGAATTAAAAAGTAGAAAGATGCAGCCTAGAGAAAGTTGAAATCAAATATGTCACGGTTATACAGTGATTTTTAAAAACTCAAGGTCAACTTGAGAGATAGCATTAAAGAGAAAAATAAGCTTTCCTTGAAATATGAACTATATCATATGTAAACAATCATCTTATGTGTTATTATGGGGGGAAAAAAATCAGTTTTAATTTTCAATTGGGCCTACTGGTTCTTTATTGACAAGGATAATTTCTCTCTCTAAATTGCCTTAATAGGCATACGGGAAACATCTTCACTCAATTCCTACTGCCAACCATAATTATGAGTCATTCTAGTTCTCCTCTAAGCCTCTAATAGTGATGAGCAGAGAATTACCCACATCAGCTGCTTTTCTAAAGGGCCGTCACATCATAGTCTATTCTTTGTTAGGCTCAAGAACTAGTAATTTCATCATTAAAGAAAAATAGCAATAATTCTCATTCATTGGTTGCACTGAATTACCCTGTGCCAGAGTCAAAATAGAATTTCCTCTCAGACTGCTTCCTCTGCAACTCTTCCAGTGAATTCACAGGTTCATACTCTTCCATTTTGGATAACGAACCATTATGCCGCTGTAAAAAGCTAAAGGCAATCTGAAAATTTGTGTTTGGTGGATAGCAGAGGCCAACTCGAATCCAGTCATTCCTATAAAGAAGAAAAAATTAAAAATGAATTCATATGTGAGCCAATATATTTTGAGCATTACAACATATGTAAAGTTTAGCCATGATTTTCTCCTCGGATGTCTGCTGTACACCGAACTACCCAACAGTGGAAGTCCTGAGCCCTAACATACTAATAAATCACCTAACTTTAAGTGTTACCCACATTTCTCTTATCATATTTTTAACAATAATATGGCTTACGACAACTTCTTGGTTTCAACCAGACTTCCGGGAATGTGAATAGAGTTGGAAAAAACGCACTTAGATACTACAAGTAGATAATAAAATTAAGTAAAAGGTGGAAGAAACACGAATAGACTGATGGTGAAAGGAGACATTGGTACAATCTTTCCAAATGATGTTTTTTGTTCATAAATATATTGTTATCTTTTATTATTACATTAATATGAATACCTAGTGTTAAAATTTCTAGATATAAAGGTATGTGTACTTTTAAAGCTTTTAATGCATACTGCCAAATTGCCATAGTGTTTTTTCTTACCCGAAGTCTTTTGATATAAAATTAATGTTTTTTAAAACCATTAAAAATATTTCCCCCTTTTTATAATTTGCTTTGGGGGGGCATTTTTTTATTGTGGTAAAATATACATAATATAAAATTTATCATTTTAGCTATTTTAACTCTTCATAGGTATTAACTACATTCACAAGGTTATGCAAGCAGCACCACTATCCATTTCCAGAACTTTTTAATCATTCTAAAGATTTTTAAATATATAACAAGGCCTTAAAATTATTCACACAGGTTTCACTCAGTAATCCCACTAAAGAATTATTAGAAATGCAGGCCAAATATGTTCTCTGCAGTATCATTTACAATAGCAAGGTGGAGGTGAGGAAGAATACCTAAATGTTCATGAGGGAAAGAAACAGTTAAATAAATTTTGATACATCTCTTTTCTCAGAAAACCCTTGAGAGTGGAAAGAGAGAACAGTATAAATGTTTGTAATACCTCACTCTGATTAGAAGAATTATTATAGGTTATTTCAATTTTATGTTTTTCTGTATTTTTCTTATTTTGTTTAATAAGTACAGCTTTTAAAACTTCTAAAGTGTTATTTTTAGAAGTGGCACTATGACAAAATCTATGACTTTTCTGTAATTATATTAAATTTGGAAAATAAGACTGTCCATCTCTTCCTCTTGCCTCCACCCATGATGTAATTAATTTTTATAAACTTTTAGCTAATTAAACAAGGAAAGTTTGACTGAACTTCAAGTCCATGTGGATTTTTGAAACATCTGAGTTCAGCCCCTTTTCACTTTAAAATGTTTTTACTTGCTCAGTATTTGTCAAAAGTTATGGGTGATACTTACAGAACTCTACGTACCATTTGGTTGCAATACCTCGCCTCAAATCCATAACCTGCCTGATATAAGTTTTTGGATTACTGATCATTCTTTGATATTTCTCCACAGTCCTCTTTGATTATCATTTGTCTCTTTCACTGATTTCTCTGCAGCTCACTGATGGGAGTAATTATAACAGACTGGCTTTTAAAAAGCTTACGACGGCTACAACATGAACTAAGGATTGGAAGTGAGAAGACCAATAGGACCCAGATAAATGATAATGGCCTGAACTCAGCCACAAACAATGAGAATGGAAAGTGGAGAGAGATGAACAATATTAAAGAGACAGAACCAACAAGGTTTGGTCACTCATGGGATGGGGAGATGAGGGAGGAAGAAGAGTTAAGGATGAGTCCTGGAATGTTTGGCTTGTTTGATCAGTAGGCAGAGGTGTGATTCTCCAGCAAGGACAGAGAAGCAGCAGCAAGTATTAGGAAAATAATAATGGTTCCATTTAGAGCATGTGCCAGAGACCTCACATCTTAGAATACGAGCATCTACCATGATGTTCACGATCCCTGGAAGTGACCTACTTAGAAATGGCTTTCTGCATGCTCTATGCCTACCTGTGTTAATTTCAATTTTGTGTTTTACAAATGTTCTGACATGTCAGAGCTTTATGACCAGTCTGGTGATTAGGCTATTTCAATTTTGCAGGTACACATCTGAGTAGTTTCATGGGGTCCCATGGGTTAACCATCACACATATACAGATATAACTCTGCCTTTCAAGAGTCTCATCCCTCCTTTTGTTTCATCTCCTGTCACTTCCCCTAACACACCCTATGCTCCCATCACACATCCATCAGTCCCTTCCTAACTCCATTGCTTTTATAACTTGAGAGATAACTTAGTGTCTCTTTCTCAGCTCTGCCTGGCCCATCTCTCTTAGGCAGAAATTAATTGCTCTATCCTTTGTCCACTAAAAAATAGTACTGGTTTATTGATTTATTTGAGGTTTTTTTTCTACTTGTATACTGTGAGCTCCTGAGGGCAAGTACTTTTCTCACTCATCATTACATCTACTGGCACAAAGTAAACACTTGAATAAATTAATGTAAAATAGAGCCTTTGATTGAAAGTTATATTATTAGGACAACTGAGAAATCAAGGGTAGAAAGATGCTTTCAGGCAGGAGTGGCAAACACCTGATATTCATGCCACAACTCTTATACCTCTTGCTCATAGCAGACATTTGTAATCAATCTTACCACTCTCTAATGTCAAGTCTAAACTTGTCCTCAAAAATCTTTTTATTTGCCAGGTAACCAAGTGTTCAGTTGGAACACCAGATTAAACTTCTTCCCATTCCAGCTAAGGGGAATTAAAGTATTGAGCAGATTATATTAAAATTTATTGTTAAATGGCTTTCTGTATACAATACCTTGACCACAGACAAACAGAAATTTGCTTTTAAAAGGAAAAGATTCAATTTGTATATTCTCTTAATTCCACCCACATAAAATATACAGCCTCCCCACAAGAAGAGCAAAGTACATGAAATCGGCATTTTTTACTTGCTACAAAGGAGATGTGTTGTTATTTTTTCCCACTAAATTCCTACTTGCTCGACTATTTGAAATACAGTAATGGAAACATACTTGTTGAAGTTTATGAGGTACAGAAAAACAGACTTCGGTGCCGGCCCATTCCAGTGGACGGTGTAGCCCTTCTCCAGCATGATCACAGGCTGGTACTGCGAAAAGGTCGTCTTCTGGGTAATGCCCCGAAGCACCATCGGGTAGAATGGGTACTCATCTCGTGCGATGGTCACGGTCAGGTTCTGAGTGCCCCACGCCTGCACATAGACCTACAAAAAAGAAATTAAGAATTCAAGGGAAGAGCATGAAAACTTAAAAGCTAACCAAACATTTCTAGCACAAAACCAAGTGTCTCTCTACTTTCAAAAGAGAGATTCTGTGACCTGTGCCAGACTGAGTAGTAGCCAACTTCATCCTAAGCCACCCTTACAGTGAAGCCTGCTTTAAACTGAAATGGTAAAAACAGACCGACCACACGCTCTGCTAGCCAAGATCATCATCATCGCTTCCACCACAACGGGCCAGCTTATTCATCAGAATATGTGGCCTGTCAAAGAAACCCCTCAATTTAAAGAATACACATACAAGAAATTAGAAAATTAATGTGAAAACTGATACCCTCCACTCAAATATGAGAGACTTTCCTCTAAAACAAGAGATGGAAAATGTAAATATCTTAGAGTTTTGGCTTTCAATTTTCCATGACCTACATCAGCCCAAGAAGTCATTTTTCACCTCTTCAAAAAAAGGGGGTTAGAAAGCACTCTGCGAAACTGGAAAAACATATCAAACTGAGACAAATTTAAAAGTCCTGACTTTTTTCCAGTGGCACTTGAGCCCCCTGCTGTGCCAAAATAAAACCTCCCCTAATGTATCCTCCAAAGAACAAATCTCAAAACAATTTCCTAAAACAAATGAGTATCCTATAGCCGATTTCTCAGAAGTATTCAAACATTTCCAGAATACTGCGTTGAATCCACATTTCTCTATTTTTCTCTTTTGGTCATTTCTACAGTTCTGTCTGTATTGATTCCCCAATTACATATCCTTTGAGCCAGAAAACCTTAACGCTCATTCACATCTGACTACTTCAATATAATACTCTTCTCTACTGACATCACTTAAAGATTTAAAATAAAGACATAGAAAAAATATATTTTGAGACTATTATCTTCATTTAAATATATTTTTAATAAATACTTCACTATATTTTGCATATTTATTATTTGTGTTTACATTTATGTAATTATATTTTATATAATAGTTTCTATAAGCATAGGTTAAATACAACGTATAATAGAATATATGTGTATGTATGTATGTATGTATGTATGTATGTATATATGTATGTATATATGTCTTACCTTCTCCCAAATCCAAGAAAGATTTGAGGTGGCACATGTAACCTTAATTCTCCTTATGTTACCACCTTTCTTCCTGAGCACCTTATCCCCTGGGCCAGCAAAGAGCAGACATTCCATTAAAATAAATGTACAAATAGCTAAATAATGTTTTTTCTGTCTTGAGATCCAGCTGTTTCTACCTTTTGCTTAAAAACGCATTGTATCATACATTACCCAAGTAACAACAAATGGCTGCAGATCTGGGCTTCTAGCCCAAATTCCAAATTCTCTGGAGAAAATTTCCAACCTGTGGTCCTATCATTCCCAGAGCCTCCTGGGAAGTATTAGATGACTTGTTTCTTTCTTCATCTTCAACTAAAAATAAGATTACCACCATCCTGGTTTGTAAGATAGAAGGATCGGGTTTCATAGTCTCAAATACAGTAGAAACCACAGAGTTTACACACTCCTTTATAATAATTCAAAAATATAAAGTTTCATTAGTGAGCACATACGACTTTCAAGATAGACACACAATCATACCACCTTTGAATACACATGACTAGCAAGAAAGTTAGCTAAAACTACAGCTACAAAAGAATTAAACCTTTTGCTTTTTGTTTTAATTCTAGAATTTCTACAGCTTCCTAAGTATTGATGTATCAACTTAATTTTAGGGAGTGATTCTAATTAAGAATAAAAAAAATGGAAAAAAGAAATCGCATTTTAAACCACATTCTTTTCTTTTTTTACTATAGTTAATTCTCCATTCATTTCTTGTCCTCCCACTTAGGCAAGTATAGTAACTTAGGCAAGCATAGTTTTGGTTTTTTTTTGGTTTTTTTCCCCATCATGAGAATGAGAAATCTCACAACAAAAAAGCTAATACTTCATTAAAATTAACCAGAAAAGCTCCCCAGTCCTTATCCCTCTTAAGCCCTTTGTCTTGCTTATAGATAAGAATCATTTTAAAGTTTATTTTATTTAATTTAAAAATATCATTCTTTAGCAGTCTTGATTCAAAATCAGAAGAGCAATGAAGAATTCTGCTCCAAGAAGCTTCTACTACAGAAGGCTTTAGTGGTATAAACCACATAAGACTCAGGAGGCCCAAGAAGTTGAAAAGCAAGAGCAGAGGAACACACCCTTGATGGGCAAAGTAGCCAGAGCTCTGAAAAGGGACTTCATCAAAGACTGGTCCTTCCCCAGGAAGAAAACACCCAACAAATAAGAGCATTGAGCAGCAAGCCAACAAGGAAGGCTTCTTTCCTGAAAGCCTGTGGGACTATCAGAGTCTAATATCCCTTGGAAGATTCCTTGTTCTTCCCCTAATCCTTCTCTCCATGCTCTAATTATCCTTTTCCTTTATTCTTTTATCTCCCTTGATGTCTATTATTAGAGCCTATGATTTAGTTGACTAAAATATGGTAATAAAATTCTGCTCCCTTCAAAATTCTGGGCAACTGGTACCCCCACCTGCAATCTCTCCATCCACCCAAATATCACTATCAAAATCATTGTTGCAACTTAGAGCTCTGCCCTCAAATAATACTAATTGCAGCAAGCACTTCACTATGTTGCCAAGCCATAGGCTAAATGCTTTACATGTAGTCATACATTCTATCTTCACAACCAGCCTTGTTTGTAGGAGAGGATCTAGAATTATCCTCTTTGTGCACAGCACAGAGTAGTTAATTAACATGCCCAACTCATGTTTAAAGAAATAACAAAGGCAAGATTCAAATCTAGACAGCCTGGCTCCGACGTCTGTGCCCTTAACATACTATCTCTCAAATGAGTCCATCCTCATACACTAGGCATCCAGTTAATAAATGCACACTAGCTTAATGCTTCCAAAGAGGTGTTTCCCAATCTACATCATCCCCTTCACAATTTCATAGATATTATATCAAAATATAATCTGAAGAATTTCCCTTGGATTCCTTCCTTGTCCACTCATTTCCAATTCCCAGCTTTGCCGCTGGGAACACCTATCTCACTTTCCATGTGACAGATATTCTGCCCCAAAAGTAAGACTTCCATATTTAGTAGAGCTAATGACCCTGAAATCAAAGAATAAATCTCCCTCTCTGCGGGCGTAGCTATAGTATGGCAAGAAAACTTGGCCTAAGACTCAAGAAATATGGGTTCTCGCACCAACCATATTCCAATCATATTTAACCAAGGACAAATCATCTCACCCCTCTTGTTCTCAAGTTTCTATTTGTTAAGTTGGTTTGGAGTGGGGAAGCTTTAAATAAAATTCTCTGAGTCCACGGTTCCTAATGAATATGTCTTTTTTTTTTTCTTCTAAAGAAACTCATGCTTTGGAAAGTATCGATCATCCTGAAGAGCTGAATAGCGCTTCTCACAGAAGCAGTGCTGTCAGGAGCTGGTAAGTAATCAGGCCTCATAATGCATTCTGGCCATAGTTACCTGGGCATAGTTCCCACTGCAAACCACTGCATTCCATCTCGTAACATTTACACAGCTTGGATGGCGGATCAGGTAATTGTCAATTCTTCCCACATAAGCATCCTTGTATCCTGTCACAGAGCCATCAATGTCATGGAATATGGAATTCTTATCACCATCCAGCTCACAATCTTCGAACCAGGGGCCACGTTTTCCAAAGAAGACATTCAGAGAGACCTGACAGCAGTGGAAAACAAGGACACCACAAAATGAGGGCTCTTGCCATCTTAGCATCCTCTGCAAATATCCAGCTGCGTATCCATTACAACTGCTTTATGGTTAAAGTAGTTCTGCGTCACAGTTCATAGCTGTCAACTATGGCACCCAGTCACTCAAAGTTTTCAATTAATTATGACATGCTTGTGGGGAGAAAATCCTTGAAGCCTTGTGGAATTCAAGAAGCAAATGTTAAACTTTATCTTTGGTGTTTCCCCTTTTTCCTACTTAAAAACTATTACTTGCTCTCCTGACAAAACTATCTGTGGAAAGAGAAATTAGAACAGTGTGGAAAGGGAAACTAAGCAGTCATAGTTTGTTAAAAATTATAAACTTTACACTTACATTTCTATGTATGCAGATGATACCTCAATTGAACAAAAACCTGTAAGTTCTAGCTAGAAGTTTTACTTCGTTCCAAATGTTTTAGTTCCTTGTTCTTATGACTCCCCCAATCAAAAAATAAGTACAGTTCCAAGCTGAAACAGAGTCAAAATGTTGCCTTCGTGTGGTTGCATGACCACTGAATTTACTAGAATCTTCTGAAAAGTATATGTCACTTTCTCTCTCCTGAACACAAACCAAGCTCAGTTCAGTAATTTTCATGTCAGTTAAGAGTTCATTTGAAGCCTTTACTGAACACATAGCACACAGCTGCATAGCAGGCTACAGGTGACATGTTTTATAGTCTTTAGCTGCTTCTTATTAGTAGTAAAGTAATAATGTTATTCTAACCATGCAGATACACCTCTAAAATGCTTTTATGAACTCGTCACCCTGGGATGTTTTAAAATCAACTGAACATCTAAATGGTAAGCAACCCAATGGAAAAATCAGTGATGTTTGGGACAAGTGGCTCTAGGTTCTTAGTTCTAGGCTTTCCCTCCTTTATCCCTTGTACCTCCCATGGTTCTATCTATGAGAAATTTAGGGCATATTTTCCATTTTTAAGGTAGAAGAAATTTGGCAAATTGCTCCCTTTACGAACTATTCCCACAGCCTCACTACCAATGAGAACTCTAGGCTGATGAACCACTGGACATAAACTGCAGATCCTCTTAAGGCTGTTGGAACTCTAGAATTCTACAACAAATACCACATCTAACAAACTGATTTTCAGTATGACCATGTCAGTGGTCAGTAAACTGTACACATGGAGAGGTCCACATGGGCAATAAGCAAACCTCCCTACTAGAGAACTGATCCAAACTCACCCTATTTATGTTAGAAGCTATCTTGTAATGTAGCCTTGCCTCTTCCCTTGGAGTCATGAAAGAGAACCAGCCAACTAAATCAACATCCCAATCTGTACCTGTGCCTCTGTTCCAAGCCTCGGCTATTCTAGAAAACCAGACATAAACTCTAGTAAAATATCACAAGTTCTATTTTAAATTGGGCAAACACAGAGTTTGCCTGTGGACGTGAATGAGAGAACTATGAGCCACTTCCAGCTGTTGCTGCCTATGAGAGGAGGGATAGAGATGGTCTGAGACTCAATCTCTCTATGTCACTGTCACCTTGGAAATGGTAAAATGGGGGGAGTATGTAATCAGATTGTCCTGTATATTAGAGATAAAGGAGGTACTGATAAAACTATTAAGGAAAACTATTTCTCTGGGCTACTACATTGTAAACAATTATTTCTAAATCCTCTTTGTAACCTTCACAAGAACCTTCCACTAGTTTCTATCAAAAATAACCCCATTTGTTTCATACTACCCCAGTATTCTTCTTCTTTTCCAACCTTTTATCCTCTAGTTCTCCAGCAGAATAGACCCCAGAGAAGTAAAATACCAGGCAGAACCCAAACCTCTTCATGAATTACTACAACAAATTTCCTAAAATCATATGTCCTCTTGTTCCTATGAAACTCTATAATCCCCATCCCTATGTCAGCACTTTAAGTAATTTTCCCTTTCAAAATATCACTTGTAAGTTAAAATGACTCAAGTCAAAGTGACTCAAGAAAGTTAAAGTGATGGGACAGAGTGTAAGGAACTAGAAGTTGCTTTTGCATATATACAAAAGTCATATATACTCCCAGTCATAAAGACTTAGTCACAAATCCTGTCTTTTTATCTTTGAAATGTACTGTCCCTTCTCCTCCCACCGCAGTCACTATGTGCGAACCACAAGAACATACTTACATGTGGACCAAACTTCACAAGGGAGATGTTATTCCTGGGGGTTATCTGCCAGGAATTCTTCATGAGGAAGCCAATAGCACTGGTATACCTATCTGGAGTTGGCATATATTTTTTGAAAGTGCACCTGGTGAGATGAATGGGCCCATCATAAATTTGAAAGCCTCTAATCGGGAATGTCCTGTTGAAATACAAGATTTTTTTTAATGCACATGGGCTCTTCCCTTTAATAGCTTATATACTTGCTTTATAAATACTCTTTAATATCCTGCATGCACTAAGCACAATTCTAGAATACAGTGGTAACCACAACAAGATCCCTGATCAAATAAAGCATACACTGTAGTGAGAAAGGCAAAAAGAAAAACAAAGGGTAATTACAGGTAAGTGCCATGGAGACAAGACATAGCAATACAATAGATTGGGTAGGAGAGAGATGCTTTTTCTGGATAGAATGCAGGTCTCTCTGAAGAGGTGACTTTTGCTTCCTTCAATCAACTCGGTTAAGACCTTTTATTTGGTAACTCATATACTTTAGTTTTGGTTCCAAAATCCGAAGCATGAGAACAAAAGACAAATCTATGCTTAAACAGAGAGAACTTTCTTTCAAGCCTTGACAGTAGCAAGGTGAAATGATATACTTAAAAGTATAAAAGTATAATTCCTCAAGGCTAACTATGTCAAAAGGGAAGCTAAATTGAGAAATTAGTTTTATTCACTTTCCTCCTTTCTGTTCAAACATAAACTCCTTAATCATATAGTATTAATCATAATTAATGTTCAAAACCCATAATATTCTGGATCCCTTAGGTTTCTCTCCTTTTAAATTACTTGACGGCATTGCAGAGGATTTCTATGGAAACTAAGTTTACAACTTGGCAGTGTTTTACAATAAAAGCATATACGCTAGCAAGAAATCGAATAGCCTGGTTAAAAATCTATGCATCTTTACGTATTTCTAAGGATATATCTCAAAATGTTTCTCTCACATAGAAAAGGTTGTACAGATAAGGTAAAATAAAAACTGGAATCTTTGTTTTGGAAAATCCTCCTTAGCAAAGCAGCAATAGGCATTTCAAAATAATGCTGGAGGCCAATGTAAAATAAAAAGGATAAAATTGAATTGACTGCCATCATACTGCAGCCTATACCTCAACCAATACAGCTGTTTTTCTTTAATCTGTACATTAGAAGAGGTAGATATAGCCTAATTATGAAGAGCACAGCATTGAATCCAAACTAACAAGGTTTGCATCCCACCTCAGTTACCTTAACTAAGGTATTTATGCAGCAAGATGATGACGGTGCCTACCTCATTGGGCTTTGCAAGGATTAAGTGAATTATTTAGAACAGGGCCTGATATGTCATAAGCATTTAATAAATGTTAGCTATTAAAATTCCATAAAGTTCCTTTCCCAGAGACTTCCATGGTCTAACAAGAGTTTGCACAGAGCATAACATAGAACGGCATTCAATATTTACCAATGACAAGCACAGGGGTAGTGAAGCCAAGCCTAGGTCACCCTTTGCCGGAAGCTAGTAAAGCCTATCTGCCAACCCTCACCCTCTGCTTCCGAAAGCTAAGAGTCTGTTTGCCCCATCCCCCTGACCCATCCTAGCCCAATGTGCAGACAGAATGTAGAACTCTAAGAGAACTGATGCTTGAAATCATACATTAGCTTTGAGGCATGGCCTAATTTAGAACACTGGTTTTGCTCTACCTAGTTTTCCCACAAGTAAAATGAGGACAACTCCAAATTGTCTCAGAACTGAAGTATGGATTAATTAGTTGACAGTTCCCTAAAAGCTCTGAAGAATCTTTCTAGTGCTAAATGCTATTTTAATGACTCTGATTATTTTGACAGAAAGCATGCCAAAAGTCTACCCCCATATCCCCTTCAACATCTGAAACACTCTTAATTATACAGCCGTGGTTAGGTTTTGAGTCAGTTTTGGCATCTATCAACTCTTATTTTCTAGGACTCTTTTCAATAGGTAATTTCCTTTTTCCAGTGGCTATTTCTGAAAACCAACATCACAAATTGAGGGAAAACTGACCTAATGTCATAGTTTATGGTTTGGCAACTCTCTGTGGCTCAAGAAAAAGTAAATAAAACCACCAGCTTATACAAGACCTTATATAAGGAATAAGAAACAAAACAGGTTCCTTCATTATAAAATTGGTAATGAAATCCATAGTGTCTGTTTAGTAGTTGATGCTCCAGAATTCCAGAGGATAATACACAAATAGTAACAGTGATAATAATAATAATAATAGTTTTAATGATGATATTGTTGGGAAAGTGTCACAGTAGAAACCAATCCATCCAGGATGATTACAGAAACTTCCAGAATGGTTTAGGTTTTTCATTTATTGTTTAAATTTAACATTCCACTGTGAAAGCGATGCTTACCTGTTCCTGGGTAACGTCCGAGGCTTCTGGTCTATTCCTCCAATGCCTATGTACTTGTTCTGACCACCCTGAAAGCCATAATTCCTGCTCTCTCCGACAAAGAGAGATTCAGATACCTCCTGGCTGGAACCTTCATCACTTGGGAAGCTCCCATCACTGTTAGGATGAGAATAATCATTAACCACACATCTCCAGGAAATTTAAATTGACCCTTGAATGAAAACAAGCTATAACTTAAAAATAGCTAAAAATTTTCAAAGCAGTCAGTAGCTCTTACTAATACACATTAATGAATTATCAAAAAGTACTTCCAAACTGTGAACATACCTCTCATAAATTAATACAAATTAAGTATATTGTAAATTAGTGGTTGGCAAATTAGATTTAAACAAATGAAATTTAATTAAGTAGCAACAATTGATTATTTTAGGCTCAAGCGACAATATTGAGAATAAACTTGCTCTGAATACAACAGTTAGATGACAAGCATGTTTAAGATGGCAATAACTGTTACAAAGAGAAAATATCAAAAAGTTCAGTTCTTAAAGACCATTGAGAAATTCAACCAGCTTCTAAGAAATATATTTAATCTGCTTCCAACTCTTACTCCCTTCCCTCTTTATTCCATACTTTTTAAGCTCTTTAATCTAATGCTCATGTGTTTTCTTCTAAGCAAAAACACAGACTGGGCCTACCCTTCTGTGGAATTCCAGCTATATTAACCTATTACTTTGGTATGAATTCAATTAATCAATAAAAATGTATTTTTGGCCCTCTAGTGGTATCAGGCAGCATGTGCTTTTTTTTTTATGTTAAATGATATGATATTCCTGTGTCATTCCCAAAAATAAAGTAATCAATAATCACGAGTTATTTTACCTACGACTTTAAATAATCAGAAGTATTTTTAAAGTAATTACAAACCTGGCAAAGGTCAGTCCTATTCCATTATCGGCAAATCTGTAAGAAAAAAAGAGAACGAGGGAACATTTTAATTTACCAAATCACGAAAGATGTAATTCTCTCAATATTTGCCATGAAATCCAGGAGGTTCCAATGTTTAGTCTCCAAGACCACATGAGAAATTTCACTTCTCAATAACTAAAGGCACAGACTCCCCAGTGAAGACACCTGGTTCAAACCTCAGCTTTGCCAATTACTAACTGTATGGGCAAATTACTCAACCTGTCTCTCTCTTAGTTTTCTCACCTATAAGTTGATATAATAATATAACCTTCCTCAAACATTAAACAGACTAATTAATTTCAATCATTTTAGAACAATGCTTGGTACACAGTAAGCAGTATATTTGTTATAATTATTTTTATAATTATTTTTAAAAACAATTAGATTATGGTAGTCTCTTCAAAATTTTTCAACATTAGTACCCAAGCTATTTCTACAGATTTAATATGTCAATTTTTTTCACATGGTAAAAGACAGAGAAGATGGTAAAATGCCAGGAAGCTAATGTCAGTGCCAGCCAGGGGAAAAAAATGGTTTTCTAGACTCTCAAACACCAAATCTTAGCTCCATATATATCAGACTTCTCCTAAAACTGTACAAATAGGAAAAAAAAAAAGTGAGATGCTCACTGCCTCAAGTCATGTTAAGACATAAGTCAACAAATTTATTAAGGTGGACTTCACAACTTTTGTTTTGAATGGCAGTAAAAGAGCATCAAAAAAAACTTTGAGTTTCCAAGAGGAAGGAAAAAAAATCCAGGTAGTTTCAAAATCTTTATTTAGCTCTCTGACATAGACCAGGTTTGTTATATAAAGTTAAATTTTCAGTTTCTGTTCAATCTCATCAAAAAACTCTCATGTCACCAGACAAGTTCAGTTCCAATAAAAGCAGCCAAATGAGACAATTCCAAACATTTGCAGTCTGTTAATGCTAGCCTACTTTCTCAGAGCTTGTCCTCTCTATTAGTAACAATAATATCACTCCAGAAACCACCACTGTACTTTCAGTCTACCAGGTTTTTCAAAATAGCCTAAAAAATAAATACATCAGTGTCATCAGATAATAACTTTGTAGAGAATACCCACGCTGAATTCTGGACAACAATGTCTCCCCCTCTGACCCAAGCTCCATGGTCATTATTTTTAAAAGCAATGAGCCTGTCAATCAAAGCAGCAACACGTGGCTTTTCAGGGTCACCATCCTGATGAGGCCGAAACCTTTAAGTTGGGAGGGGGAAAAAAAAGACTTTTAAAAATAGTTATGAAAAAGCAATGGAAATCAGCTATTTATGATTATAAGCTTAAATATCAAAAAGCAGGATTTAAATTTGACCAAAAACAAAGAAAAAAAATCTTACAACACAACCTAATATTTGTTATTTCAAATATCAGAAAAAATTATTATATTTATTTATAGAAGTTTACAGAGTACTGCTTTCATATCTTCTTAGTTATTTTTTAAAATCAACTTATAGAATGAACACTAAAACCATTTTAAAAAATAAAAACAAAAATCCTTAGACCAGAAAATCTGGCATGTTTTCACAAATTCTAAAGCTCCATGATACTAATATAAACTTACTGAATAAATTAATTATATATTTTGATACATATACATTTAAACTGAAGTATTATTTGAGTTGTGGCTGGTGAAAAATGTCAGAGATAGAGATAAAACTGGGTTTTATACCTTTAAAAAGCCTAAATTTAAAATAAATTGTATTTAACTGACTTATAAAAATCAAATTTTATCTTTTCTCTCTCTTCCTTCTAAAGCATTTATAAGGACCTTAATGAAAAAGTCAAAAAAATTGGCATCAAAAACTATTCACAATAACTCAAATAATTCCATAAGGCCACCTATTTAAAAATAAGATTATTTCTATCTTAATCTTACAAAGGAATGGTTGGGGGAGGAAAAAACTAGACTGCTTTCAGAAACCAATTCAGGTTAAACTTTTCAGTCACATAATCAAGAAATATCATTTGTACAAATTCTACTACTACCACAGTTATTGGTATTCAGTAGGTGCTCACTAAATGTGTCTGATGGGAGAAGCAGCTACGCACAAAGAACAGCAAGTGCAAAGGTTGTTAGGCATGAGTGGGTGTGGCATATCCACGGAACAAGCAATAAGGCAGGAGAGTAAGAAGCAAGAACTTAGAGAGGCCTGGATGTGGTTCTTTATTCTACATGCAACAGGAAAGCAGAGAGTAGAATGGCAGTTGCCAGGGACTGGGGAAGGAGGAAATGGGGAGGTGTCGGTCAAAGGGCACAAAGTTTTAGTTATGCAAGAAATTCTAAAGATCTACTATACGGCATAGTGCCTATTGCTAACAATGCTGTACCATCTACTCAAAATCTGAGAAGAGAGTAGATTTTAGGGTAAGCGTTCTTACCAAAAAAATAATAATTTAAATTTTAAAAATAACAACAATAAAGAAGTGGGAGGAAACTTGGGAGGTGATGAATATGTCTAGAGCCTTGATGGTGGCAATGGTTTCATGGGAATGTACTTATGCCCAAACTCAGCGAGTTACATACATTGAATACGCACAACTTTTTACGTGTTAACCACACCTCAATAAAGTAGACAGACAGGCGTGATGGAAAGTCATCGGAAACATGGAATCAGGAACTGATGACCAGATTTCATTTGTTTTTCAAACTGGTCTCTAGCTGCTACTTGGTAAAAGGATTGTAGCGTATGGACTGCGAAAGAGACCAGTCTGGAAAACGTTTTATCCCTCCTTAGATTGTGTATGTGACCCTTACACTAAACAGCTCTAATCTAAGGAGTAAAAAGTCTGACTGAGCCGTCACCCACTCTTTTGGCATCGTTGTTACTGCCAAACAGCTTTGCAGTCATTATATAATATTAAGCAGATGGAAGAGTTCTGAAAAGGAAACTACACAATGTTCTAAAAGAAAGCCAAAAAAAAAAAAACCTCAATAAAGCAACATCTGATTCTCTGCTGTGGCCATCTCATTTTTGCTGAAATTCCTATCCATATAAATCAATTGTTGACCACTTGCTTAGATACCCTTTATTTTCATCCTCTTCCCCCACTTGGCGTGCAAAAAATAGATAATTTTCCCAATTTCTCATCATCCTCATTTATGAACTTTCAGCATCCTTCCCAATCCTCTCTTAATTGTCCTCAGCTTTAAATGTGCTAGCTTATTCTCTTGCTTTTCACTTTTAGATGAAATTTTCCGATCTCAAACCGAGGAATTTCTTAAGTTAAAATTTCTCATCTTTGGATTCCTGTAATTTCACATCTCGAAGACACAAGGAAGGGCTCATTTGATTAACTGTTGAGTCAACTTCCACTGTGATGAACAGACTGAGTATCTTCTGGATCTCATGGGCCTGACGTTTAATTTATTGGCTGGCTTATGACTCACTTGTGTGACAGTTTTATCATCTGAATCATGTCTGGACTGCATGAATGCATGTGGGCATATTCTATACATTAGTTTAAACAAAATTAAATGTATACACCAGACACCAAATGTTCCTCTCTTCTATAATCAGTTCTTCTTTTCAATAACGACTTCCAAATGGAGTCTAATTCCTTACAAATATGTATGCATTTATAAATTGGTAAGAGAAATAACAGAGAGCAGAGGAAAAATTACCATTATCATAATATCATATACATATACCTAGTAAAAAACTGGTTAGGCCATTATGGATAGTTTTATTGTCAACTCTAAAATATCAATGGATTCTGAAATATATTTTCACCCATCCATTCATACACATACACATAGTTTAAAGCAAGGAAGAGAGTCAATTTTGTTGTTTAAAGATTTTTCTGTTAATACTAACTTCAAAGTATACATTACTAGTTCTACCAGCTAGTAGAACTAGTAATGAACTCTAAAAAAAAGTAGCAGCAACCATCTAGCAAAGATTTCTTTGCTTTGTCAAAAAAGTCTATTCTTGGTTCATAATATGTCATCATCTCTATGCTCATTTTTCATCTTATCTCCCCTAGTTTTTCATTTCATGTCTTGCTCAGCTATTAGGTGTCCGGAACCTTGTGTTTCATTTAATAATGCCCATAGTTTCGCAGCTTCTCAAATGCTGTCTGATCACTGCTTTGAAATATTTCAGGCTTGATTTGACCTTTAAGGAATCCCAATGAGTAATTTTACTAATTATACTTCTCAGTTTTTCCTGACCTCATGTCTTATTACTGTGTTGAAAGGATCCTGTCTCACACCTAAATTGACTCTCTGACCTACAGTGTGGCTCCTACTTTATTCCCTTGTGAATAATCAAGTCTGACACCCTTTTCTTAAATGTCTATCAACAGATCCTATTAAATCTAGCCCCTTTGCAACTCCATAAGTTGGCCGATCAACTTGAAGAATGAAAAAATAACATGTACACAATTTGTACTAAATATAACTTTAAGTTACCATCTTTTCCAGAAATTTTTTATTTCCACTAAAGATATTTTATTTATTTTGGCTCATACATAGCATGTAAAAGCACTCAGTTGAAATGCTGATCCATATCCCTACCACATTCTGTGGTTATAAAGGAGAGTAACATAAAGCCTAACTATGATATAAATCTGAGACTACAAATGACTAAACCAGAACTGGCTTAATCATCAAGTTTGAGATCTTGCCCTTTGAAATAGAATTAGTGCAATGTTCCATTTTGACCACTAACAATAAATTCTATATGCCTTGGTTTTCAAGGATTACACCAAAACATTTTAGCTTTAACTTGTTTTTCAATGAATCATATTCTACTTTAGGCCAAATTTGGGCACTTTTTCAACGTATCTCTCTTTTTCTTTCTCCTGCAACTCTAACAGTTTACAACTATGAAAAAAGGAAAGCATTAACTTCTTTGGTATCTTGATAAGATTAAAAAGGCCGGCTACAGGTCTAGAACAGCAGAATAAATGTTTTTCCAAAACCCTCCTACAAACTTTAAAAACTTCGTTTTAATTATGTTACTGGAGAAAAGAGCACAATGGCTTAACTCAGAAAGTTTTGCTTTGGTAAGATATGGTTCGAGTGTGATTTAAAAGAACCAGCTCTACCTTGCACTGTTATCCAAACAGAGGTATTCTCGTGGGTCAGCACCACTCGCGTTGGTTGTTTTGACGCCTTTGTCAATAAACAAGCCAGCCTGGAAAATATAATAATAAACTGAAATAAATATGAATCCCAAGTTACATCTATGTATGTAATAATTCACGTAAATAAGTTTTAGCTTACCATGTCTACCAAAAAAAAAGAGGGGGAAGAAATATACAGCAAAGCAAAGGTATCATGAAAACAGCTACTTTCCTGGATATTTTTAAAATTTTACTCATTAGGTCATTTGCAAATATTTATGTAGTGCCTACCTCGTGGTAGGCACCAAGCACTATACATTAACAAGAAAACTACGGTCTTTGCTGTTACTGATACATAAACTAGAAGACATGCAATTAAATAAACAATTACAACACAGTGTGATAGCGTATGATAAAGGAAGTATATGATGCTTTGGCAGCATGAAGCAAAAACCAAGATGAGACTTTTGGCAAAGGTGGGAGTGAGAAGATTCAGGGAATATCTCTTAAAGAAAAGTGACGTCCAAAAGCTTGAAGGATGGGGAGGAATTAACCACACAAAAGAATAGGTTGAAGATGAAGGGCAGGGAGTAGGTGGGAAGCAGCTGCAGACCCCAGAGTAAAATACTCAATGGAATCATTTTTAAGACCAGAGATGAGAGAGGGCATGGAACATCTGAGAACAAAAAAAAATTTTAATAGACTGACAAGAAATGTTTGGAGAGAGGAAAGGTAAGCAAGAAGGAGAAATAGAAACGAAGACCAGGTGATACTAAGCTGATATGCTAGAGAGTAAAAACAACAGACTTTTAATAAAGGTAACGTAATCAACTACATTTGAAGAAAGAATACTCTAGCTGTGAAATGGATAATGGTTTGGAAAGGGACAAAAAAAAGAGGTAAGGGATGAGGTAGGAGACAACTGCAGTAACGCAGAGAAATGAAGACGACCCAGACTTGTGGCAGCAGTAACGGAAAAATGGATAGAGTAGTACCTACACCATTTAGTAATCAATAAAATTCTAAGGGCGAGGGAGAGGGAGCAATACAGGTTCACATATGTCTAAGTATGGGCAATTAGGTGGTTAGTGGTTTCATTCATTGAAACAGATATGGGAATGCGTCTGGTGATAAAAATAAGGATTTCAGTTTTGAACGCATTTTATTTGTGTCCCTAAGACCTCCAGACGGTATTCACAGGCAGTCGGATGCGATTGACCTGGACTAGATTTGGGAGGCAGGAGCAACAAAAGCCACAGAGGTCAGTGTTTATTTATGACTGATCTAAAGATGACAGGTTCCTCTCTGAGCACACCAAAGGTTCAATTTCCTTTGGCTATAAAGTATCATTCTAGATAGTCAGTCCCAAATTTAACACATTAAAATCTAATCGTCCACTTATGATTTATATCTAATATGCTTATAATTAATAGAGTAAATAATGACGTGTGCTATATGACATTAAAACTTAATCAGAATGAGGTGTTTTTATACCACGTAAAATTAGAACATTTTGCAGAATTCCATTTTGAAATGCTACTTTCAATAATTATTATCCTTAACCAATCAACTCACAAAAACCATAATTCTGTGTAAAGTTTTTTCCTCTGTCAAGTCTTCGTCAAGTGAGTCTAAGCTCTTCAATTATAACAACTTAGGTTTTTAAAGGATCCTGTGAGTATCACAAATGGAAAGTTTAATTGAACTTTGATGTGAATCACATCAAGGTAAAGAATCTGCGCACTGTATCATATAATGAAAATATCAAAGTGCCTTGTGAGCACAAAATGAACTAGATGTATTTGTCACCAAGGGGGTGAGGGCCAAACACCATGGAAACTGGATCTCTTAAATGGCCTTTGGTTTCTTTGACCTATATCATTTTAAATTAGGTCAAACATTCGTAAACAATATTTCACTATTTACATAATTAGTACTAAATGCCCATAGGACACTTTATCGGTACTAAGAAATATCAGAAGTATATGACCTAATACGTACATCCTTAGAAACATGTAATATTAAAGGTTAGAAAAAAGATGAGAGGGAAGGAGAGGATGAGGATGCATGAATCAAGTCCACTGTGATAATTACTCAGATTGCATGCCCATGTGTGTGTTAGTGTATATACCTCTGTGTATATAAAAAGAAAGCTCTGTATACATCCTGAACATGGAAGGGTTAGCAGTCTGCTTTTTAATCACAAATTACTTTCTCTGATGACAAGGTTTACCTAAAACTGACATTTCTCAGTTGTAATCACAATAGTCCATCCTTTATTCTGTAAATCACATGTACTAATTATTAAAACTTACGAACCTACCTTAAAACTTGAATGGACCCTGTTGTTATAAAATATACCCAATGGAGTAAGTTCTGGTTTCGTTGAAAGCTGCAATCCACTGGATTCCCCAGTAGGTTCCTTGTGGAATAAATACCATATTCCAGCATCCTATAATTAAAAGGGCAAGGTCATTAAAAGCCTCCTTTACTAAAGCCAGTCTACGAAACACCCTCATAAACTAAGCACTTCACAAGAAAGTTTAACCTTTTTAATACTGTTCATTGTTTCAGATTAGGAATTGACCATAAAAAAGTTACGGCACTCATCTCGCACCCTGAAAGCAATTACATCATGATGTTTTTAAAAAAGCAAATTTAATTTTGCTTGCAGGATTAGACAAAAGATAGAAATAACAGACTGAAACAAAATATGTTTTCAAAATAACTTTCCCATTATCTACTTTAAAAAGTTATGCAGAATTATAGCCAAACAAGCCTGCCTTCCTTCCATGTGACCAGGACAGCACAGCCTTTTAGCAATATAGGGGTTTTTTTTTTTTCTGTTTACCTCAAAACCTGATCAATAGATGAGTCATACCTATTAAACAACTATCCGCTAACATGCAGAGCTCACTGACTTCTTTCAAACAAGTCCAATGCCCTTCCTGTCCTGAGGCAAATTTTTGCCAAGTAAAAAAAACCACCGCATGCATGAATCAGGATGCTGTTTCAGGCTGGATCCTGTCTATTCAATTTCAGTATTACTGACCTTAACAGAAGCAGCAGAATAGTTTAAAATGTTTTGACACTCAAAATGATACATAAAAATCAAAATTAAATGTTCTTAATCCCGTGACAATTTTTTATTTTGCAATTTTGTTAAAAACCAGCCCAGTGTAAAGGGCAACTTCACATGATGAGACTTTGATTAAACAGGTTGTTAAAACTTAAACAGTCTAAAAGTATGGTATTGATTCAAACTTGGTAAACATTCATTTAGTGCCTACTGCATGCCACGTGTACGGTATGGCTAATCTCAAAGAATTCATGGTTTAAGGAGAAATACAGACGGAACTAAAATATATGTAATAAATGCCATATTAGCTGTAATAAAAAGTCTTTTGGGCTCATGGAGGAAAGATGAATTGTGAAAAGCATATATATCTACACATCAAAATTAATGCAACATTTAACATTTTTCCATAAGTGTATAGATGAGTCTTAATAAAACAAACTACTCTGAAAAATGTTTTTGCCACACCTGCTTCTTTGGGGCACAAAACAGACCATGGAAAAAGACTTGGGTTATGGAGAAGACTCCATATCATAGCTCTATAAACCGAGGGAGGAGCAATGGAGTTTGGGGATGGAGGTAGATGGAGAATGAGGGGGTAGCAGCTGCTTCCCGCTGAACACTGTGGTGTCAAAACAGTTAAAGGGAACTTTGTAAAAAGGCAGTGGAAAGGTACAAGCAGAAAGAGTTTGATTGACTTTGGGAGGAAAACTCTCGCCAAAACATGAGCTTTACTGGAATAGTTTTTCTAGAGAAAAGAAAAAAAAAAAAAAAAGAACTCAGAATGACAAGGAAGAATAACATCATGAGGATGTAAAAGGGAGAGACCTGCTTTCTTCTTTTCTCACATGAGCCCCAGTAAGGGTTTCTGACAACCTCACCTTACATTTTTTATAGACTATTTCCAATTTGCTTTGATCTTCCACCCATGACTTCTGAAAACAGCTGAAAGGAATCTCTGCTCTGGCTGTTCGTTTATAATGTAACATAGATCATAGATGATCCTGGCATAAGACTGCTTTCAATCTCTCCGTCATCTTTATCCAAAACTCATCTTCCAGTTAAAAACTTCAACACAAAATCCCATATGGTCTTGACAAATATTTGATGAAAAATGAATGAATGGAAACTGGAAATGATTAAATGTCCAGGTCTCTGCCCAGTCAAATAAGAATTTTATGTTTTTAAGGAAAATCACAAAATGTGAATTCCATCATCACCTAGTGATGCCCGTATTCTGTTTCTCAAAGAAATACTCCCTTCAACTAATCTTTCACTTCATCCTAGAAAACAATGCTAGATTAAGATTTTAAAAAGGAAAGAAACACCAAATATCCATGATGTAGAAATATGAATATTTAGGTACTACTGCAAAGCTCATTATTTCTGTACTGGAGTTTTCAGCACACATATAATCATAATAGTATAAAGTCTAAAAGATTCATTTCAATGTTATAAATTATCAGTTTTAAATCACACTCGATTACAAATTTAAATTCTCCAAGCTTATCCAGGAGACATTTCTGTCATGCAAGAATAGTTCATTTACTCTTTTTTAAGTTATTCGTGTTTGTGAAATAATTCAAGGCACACAGTTAATTTAAGGTACACAGTTGAGTTTAGCTGCTTTACCAAGGAGATGAAATCCTCAAGCGTACATGATCCCTGCAGTTAACAAAAAGATGTACCTCTTGACCAGAGTGATAACTGTCATAATCTGCAGGATAATCCATTCTCATGAAGAAAAGCTAAAATTTTCTTTGTTCATCAACATTAAAACTGAAATGATCAGTTACTTGGCTACATCTGACTTAAATACGAGAAACCATAAAGACTATACATCACACAATGAAATTATACCCTGGAGATGACATAACCCTAAAGATTAGCCCATCTCTTTTTCTCCGTTTGGCATATGTCTTGCTATACTCAGAGACACTGTCATAAGTGATTTTTTTTTTTTTTACATTGACAAGATCATTTTATTGGGACAGTTGCATAACTCTTTATTTAATGTTGGTCAGGTCTTTTTCTCATTTTTACCATGTGGCATTTATATTGACATAGAGTTTCTGTCTATTATTCATTTGATGGGCACCAGGTAAACAAGTTAAAAACCTAAAAATGGAAAGTTGAGCTAAATTTAAATTAGTTGACTCATAAAATTCATGATATAGAAATTACTGAACATTTCAAACGAACTTATTTTTTTATTAAAAATAGTACAGTAAAACATAAAGATTATTTTAAATGATTGCTTCACTGATAAAAAATGGAGCATCATAAAACTCATCTAATGCTATAAAAGTTAAATATTTTATTATTATGAATATTTTTAATTATGACTAGTAGCTATTTTAAGAGAAGAACAAACTTTTCCCTATCCTTACATTTCTGACTGGTCTAATAACCAAATAGACATGAGACAGAGTAGCAAGAGAAAATAATCAAATTTAATACATGAGAGAGTCAGAGACTCCACATGCAGAAGAGGTTCAGAGGTAGAAAGGGAACATGGGTAGCTAAGACATTCTGAGCTAGGGATGAGGTAAGGTGCCTTGGAGGCCTCAAAGGGTCATTGCAGGATGATAAAAGAGGCTGGCATAAATGATTTAGAAGAAACAGAAGAACCATCTCAACCACATTCTGCTCTCAACTAAACAAGTAGTTCCAGAAAACAATATGATGTTGGAGATAGATTGCTACACATTATGTTACATCCATAATGCAACATCCATATACGAGAATATTTATAAACATGAAAACAAAACAAACGAACAACAATAAAAAAAGCACTTGAATATTATTTACCTGTGAGCCTGCAGCTGCATTATTAATCAGATTATTGTTGGGATGAGCAATCCAGAAAGTTGAAACAGCCCTGCAAGGCATTTTTTAAAGGTGATTGAAATATTCATCATGAAAAATCCTGCCGACTAAAAACTCCCCCCTAAACCACTTCCCCAAATGTCAAAGGCCTTGATCATCATACATGAGTTCTCTCTGCCAACTACTCACATACAGTCAGTGGCAGGCACGGGGATGTAATTTCCGAACACTTTTTCCCGCATGGTGGTGCACATGGAGTTGTTCCTGTCAGTGGGGAGGAGGGTGCCGGGCTTGGTGAGGAGTCCTAGATTGTGGAACAAAGTATTTCTCTGTTCAACACCATCTTCCAAAAAGAAACAATGACCTAGTGTGTCAAATCCAATGGTGTCCTTTATCTGCAGAAATACAAGTGTAGGATGTCATTGGTAACAAGATTGATTGTGGTTTAAGTAACAAGCACTATTTAGTGCAGTATGCTCGGTACAAAGAAGTTTTAATCTTATCTGAAGAGGCTTTTATTGATCTCTTAAGAAAATAATTTGGGTAGCTAAAAAAGTAAGCTTCCTTTCCACAGAAAAACGGCAGAATTCTCAGTAAAAGCAGGGTAGCACAAGATATGTGGTGCAAAGCTTATATAAAATCAAGAAGTCATGAGAATTAAGGAGAGGTATCTGCTTCAGTAATATCCATCAACATAATATGAGGCAACTTACCAGCAAGCCATCTGTCCCATGCACAGTGATACACCGAGAGAAGCTGTGATGAATAGACAGTCCGTCTACAGATGTTGCATGTCTATACCCTCCTTTATAATCCACATCTCCACACAGATGAAAATGAACAGGATATCGTCCCAACTGCTGCTGACCCATGTGTTTCAATTCCACATAAGAAAGATGGACTGAAGTAAAATTTTTCATTATCTGTAAGTCAAGGTAACCAAAATTATGATACATTTCATTATAGGAAAGTAGCAAAATATAGTTTTAATAGAAAGTGTCTGAAGGATAATACATTTTAAAACATTTATTGTCTTTCACATCCTATTTTCTCGGATTCCCTGTTAATAACAGCAAATGCTGCTTTACATAAGTGATTGCTTTAAAGAGCTATAGAAATAGCATCTTATTAGGAATAAAAGGAAAGGTAATCAGGAAAGTTGCAGAAATAATTTCTGTATATGTGTTTTGATTTGTTCAAATATTTTGGCCAGTTCCAGTCTCATCTTGTTCTTTTATTTCTATAATTTCCATTATAGTTTGATAGTTATTTCTAAATCATCTCTCAATATTTTTATTGGCACATAACATTGTTTACTTCAGTTCTTTTTAAAAATTCCTCTGTAATGCACAATTGGAGCACTCCCAATATTTTAAACACTGGATTTTCAAGCATATTACTAAAAACAAAGAAATAACACTGACCAACACTTTGGAAATCAGTGTAACAGAAATGTTGCTAACAAGCATAGCCCACTCAATGCACAAAAACTAATTTTAAAACACATGTAGCCAAAATGCAGCCCAGAAGTCCAATAAATTAGTACATAGAGCAAAGCTTACCACACAGTAAGCACTCAACACTTTTACAGAAACATATTTTGTATATGTATATTGCTACTGCTTATCCTTTCATAATATCATGTTTTAAAAAGAACCAATTGATATTTTCATACCAAGATGATTTTTCTCTCTCTATATATAATTTGTTCTTCCCACCATATTGATTTAATTCTTCATAAGAAAATTCTTAAATGACTTAACCACAGGTCCAGGTCAACTAAATAAAGATATAAATTTTCTCTTTTAATCATCTAAAATCTCCTCTTTGTCATTTGGTAGAGAAATAAAATATTTCTTTTTAATATCCTTATAAATCTCATTCTAAAACCTGAAAGTTTTAAAAAACTACATTTAGCAAAGAGGGTTTCAAAGAACTCATCAAATTCTTCTGCCTACCATGACATGTCCCCCAAAGGTATCATAATCGAAGAACTGGCACTGGTTTTCAGCATAACATGAGTCTTCCATTTCTCCTCGGATTGCAACGTTCCGGGTAAGAATTCCAACCTCAGCTCTCATGTCTACACCATCTATGATCTCACCCATATGCAGAAACTGAGGGGTTTCTGGTTGATGTGGGCAAGGAAAAAAATAATATTAGAACAAAGAACTCATGGAACTTATGTCAACAAGACAGTCCTGTTCATTTTGTAACCTTAAGACGTTATCAAAATTTATTGTCTGCTTTCATTTTTTAATACCTCAGAATCACAGAATCCCAAGAAGCAAGGATTTTAAAGATTATTTCGTTAAACCACTCACGCGTTTAACCATCACTACCAACTGTCAAATCCACACACAGAGAGTTTGCTCTTCCCTGAAGTAGCTCAATCCTCTCTTGGACAGCATCAATAATCTGAAATCTACTTAAGAATCTATGATCTCTCTCTAGTTTCTTGTCCATATGTTCTTGTTCTACTCCCCTGAGGACACATGAAGAACCAAATGCATGGCGAGTCCAGAAAAACTGATAGTTTTGTAGATGTTGATAACAGGGTGTCTGTTTTTGTTTCTATTTCAAAGCAAAAGTAATCTGCATTTTCACATTAACAGAACAGAAATTACCATCTTTTTCTACTTATTTTAATATTATTATGCAGCCTTTTGAATTCCCACCTTTATTAGAAGTTTAGAAACACTTTAATAATGAGCTTCTCTCTAATGTTTTTATTATATAAGCTCAGGAAAAAATACAAATAAATTAAAAAGTTGAGATCATGGAGATTCATTATCATGTAGACTTGTTAACAAGAGTGGGAATTTCCAAACGAAATTAAGGCCAGATGTATCATAGTTTTCTGGGGGGTTTTGTTTTCTGCTTATGCCGTGTATTATCAAGAAGGAAAAGTACAACACTGAAGCACAGAGAAAAGGTACCAAGTAAGCCAATCATCCTATTTTTTGAAGCAAAATAATATCCCTCGAACTTCTAAGCTCTAAATTACCCATTGAGTGAGTACTTATCAAATAGTTACTGTAAGCTCTTGTTTTGTACCATAAATGTATAATCTTGAGTACAGAAGCAAGGAAGGCAATATAATGAGTGAAATGCACAATTAATTCCATAACTGAAACAATGCATGAAGAAGCTTTGACTATTACCAGCCTCAGAATAAGTGCCTGATAAATGTCACCCATTCTTTCTAAACACCGTTTACAGGAAAAATCTCATTGTGCTCTGCTCTCCCTCAAAAAAATATATTATTCAAGAGTATGATAAGAAATGTAGTCTTATAAAAATACCTTTCTGGTTCCATTTTAATGATCAGTGAGATCTACTTTTTGCCAAGGAAGTAAGCACTCAAAAACTATGGAATTATTTTTTTTTTTTTAATTAAGAAGAAAAACTTCTATTAAAAAATTAGTCTAGTTGAATGGCTGGGTTTAGTATTACTTAACAGTGAAAATTAATAAGAAGTTGGAAAGGACCTTGGAAAACAATTGATCCACCAAGTCCATATCTTTATTTATTTATTTTTTTAAGCAAAGAAACAGGCATGAAACACAGTGGTAGTGATGGTGGAGGAGAGGCGGTGGTGGTGATTGAGGGAAAAATATAACTCCAGGAATAAATCCCAAGAAAAAGAGCATTCTGAGCAATCCGATACCTTTGACTTTGACCTGGAAACGGTTGCACTCAGGACAGGGGAGAAGCGTGAACTCCTCTGCTTGGTACATGGAATAGTCTGTGCTTGCGACCACAATCCGGTCTCCAGGTTTCCAGCTGCTAACATCATCCAGCAGATGAAGCTTCACTCCATCCACGACTTCTACCCGGAAACCTGAAAGAGAGACGCCTAAACCAAAAAGCAAGAAAGTGATGCATTAGCAGAAATTTTTTTTCTAATATCAACTCCCTCCCTGATTAACAAATCAAAAGTTAAGATAAATACAAGGCAGCAAACATTTACTAATGATGACCATATGGAAGTCATTCTGAGGACATTAATGACTAAAAGATGCAAATATAAACAGATCCCTGCCAAGAGGAAAGAGCCCCCTAACCCAAACATACTAATCTGGTGTTCCTTTAAGATAATGACTCTAAGGGACAATGACAGGAATGAAAAAACATATTTACTTCCATTAGGGGAATCAAAAGAAGGGAAATTTAGGCATGGAACAAGGAATAATATAGATAGTCTTACAGTCTTGAGCCAACTATCCTGATAAAACCTAAATTAAGCAAGTCTTGGATTCTGTTCCCTTGGACTGTGATCTATCCTGCATTTTTATTTTTATTTTTCAAAAAAAAGGATACCTAAATAAATGTAAAGTGTATTTTTTATGTTTATTTCATCCAGATACTAAAATCTATAATAGAATTGTATCCAAATAATAACAATAACAATAGCTAAGTTGTAAAAGTTGTTGGAACTTTGCACACATAATAACCTTTCATCAAAACAATTTTGAGAGATAGGAATTATACACTATGCATTAGAGATAAAGAAACCAAAGGTCAAGGAGTTTGAATAACAACTAAAAAATGAGAGAGCCCATAATTGAATGCTAATCTAATTCCAGAGCCCAATTTCTTAACCTCTATATTATTCTGCTTTCCTAAGGATCAGACAGGTTAAGAATAAAGAGAATAAGAACCTCATGACAGCAACAAGAATCACTACCACAAATTTCAGATTCCTGCCAAAAAAATTATCTAAAATAGGGCAACGAAACCTTACTTTTTCATAAAAAATTTCATATAATTTTCAATAATGCTTAAAAATAGGTGGAAGGATGATCTTTAAGCAAAAGTTTCTTTAAAAAAACTAGATAAATAAGTTTTGACTTAAATGATTTTTAGAAATTCTGGGGTTTTTTGTTTGTTTGTTTTTTTAATCCGGGTTAAATGGGGAAATCTGTATTATTCAATAATTCCTCACTTTTTTCTGGCTTTAGAAGAAAATTCTTGCCTATTATCACTACTGGAAGTAAGAAAGGAAATAAGTTCATCCTCTCAGCTTCCTGGACAGAATTTCCACCTCTTCCAGAAAGTAAGAGGCATCAAGAACATGGGACACAAACATCCTCCTCTGATGGATAGCTAGAATGTACCCTTCTCTAGGAAAGTGCAGTCATCAAAATGTGGACATGAAAACAAAACTTCCCAAAAAGGAAATGCTGATTTGAGATTTGTCGGTAAGTGTCTTTTGCCTGGAATCTTACTGCAGGCAGTCGTACTAAACTTTTCATCAGGTTCAAATTCCTGATAAGAAATGCCCACCCACCGATGCTTTCTGCCAGAGGCAGCCACAATGTGGCAGAAAAAGCAGTAGATTTGGTTCCAGCTTCCTCTTCCATAAGAGATACCACCAATTATACTGAGAAGTAACGTGTGAAAGTCCCTGATACATAACAGGAACTCTACTTATCTGCTTGTTGTAAAGCAAAAGACTCTTTAATTACAATGATATAAAATATACAACTCTAACCCAAATCATGTTTGCATCATCAAAATAGCTAATACTTGTTGAGTGCTTACTATACACGGTGTTAAAAAACTTCATGTTCTTCATACTTGATACTCACAGCAGCCCTACGTGGTAGTTTCCATTATTATCCCCATTTTTCAAATGAAGAAACTGAGAGTTAGGAAGTTAAAGTTGAATGCTCACCATCATAGAGTAAGTGAAAGAGTTGAGATATGAACTCAGGCATTCCGTCTCCAAAAATTCTTTATAGTAAATTGTAATATAGGAAACTACATTGCTGCTAAAAACAGAGGTATGAGCCCAGTCTAAAGTAAGCCCTTCTGGATAATTATACCTTTTACTTACTCATTTCACATTCATTTGGATATAATATTTAAGAAAGGTGGTGGGCAAGCACGGGCAGGAGGCTGCCAATGCCAATCCATACCTGAAGCCAAAAATCTGGCAGCAAAATGGTAAGCAAAAAAATTCTACAGTGAACATCCTTAAGAGAAAAAAGTCAAAAGCACCCTACACACCCAGGGCTAGGCATTATTCGAACAAATTATAGCTCTTCAGAAAGCTGGATTATAATTAAAAGTAAGTTCAAGAAAAAGTAAAGACATAAGATACCTTTACAGTATGTTGTTTAAAGACAGGAAAACAGGTTAAAACAAAATGAACACTAGTGGAAGAAACATAAGATAAAAAAAAATATTAGATTATGTGCATTGAAATAATTATCTCTGAAAGAGGAGGGTAAAGATTAATTTTTTACTTTGTACTTTCTGTGTTTTCCAATTTGTATTAGCTGGATCACCCAGGAAAATTTGCTAAGAAAAATTTGTTTCTATAGCATGGGTTCAAAGTAGTATTTGTTGACATATCTGCATGAAGATAAGATACAAAGTACAAGATCATATTCACTGTCAAAGAGAGCTCATCTTATCATACCCAGATTGTTTCAATAAGTACCAAATCCAGGAAACAAATCCATTAAATCAATTTCCACTAGCTATACACTCAAGAAACATGAACAAAGTCAAGTTGGGCGTGCCCAACCTAGAACAGATCATTATCTAGTCCAGAAAAAACTCCCGAGTCTAAAAGATCAACTACAGTAAGGAAACTATAGGTTCCACCCTTACCCAGTTGAGAAACCTAGCTGGAATGTCATTTGAATATATCACTTCTAAAAAAAAGCTGTCACAATACTTACCTATGTCTTACGAGAGTACAAACTGTACTTGCTTACCTTCAATCCATTCACTATAAGCTGTCACAGTGAACTTCTGCCCATCCACAGTATCAAATTCTCTCTGGGCAAGAGCTTTTCCTCCACTACTATGATTTTCATAGTTTCTCACGGATTCATTGCAAGAAGTACTTCCACCATCAATGACACCAACCAAAGCCCAAGCTTGCCTAAAAGGAAAAAGAGCATGTGCATGTGATTATTTATCATGGTACTGACCCAAATCCTTGACACAAATGTTAGGTCAGGTACCAGTTAATTCTAATATGTTATTTTTGTCAATTCCTACACCTTTTTCTCCATATGAGGTTGCAACAGTCCTGACCCTGATCATCATAGAAGGAAATGCACCTGGATTTTAAATCCTTGTTTGTCCAGCTCTGTAACAGGTGAAACACTGATGACTGTGACTTCAATTAATCATTGACTTCCTTCTTCAGTATACACCCATTTCATTCACTATCACTCTGGCCACAAACCTATTTTTCCTTCTTTTAAAACCTGCTCTCTTTTCATCTCTCCAACGTTCCCCAATCTAGCTGCATAATAGAATCACATAGGTAGCTTTCAGAATAAAACAATGGTCAGACCCTGCCCAGATCGAAGAACTAGTTTTTAAAGTTTCCCAGGAGACTTAAATATCAGGCCACACTTGAGAACCACTGACTGAGTTACAGCAGTGGTTCTCAAACTTCAACAGACATCAAAATCGCCTGGAGCGCTTGTTAAATCAGTTTGCTGGGCTGAACCCACTGTTTGAGGTGGGGCCAAAGAATCTGCATGTGTAACATGTTCCCAGTAATGCTGATGCTGCTGGTCTAGTGACAACCCATGAGTTACTGAGAACCCATGAGTTAGGAGTTAGAGTAATAGTTATACTGAGAACCCATGAGTTAGGAGTTAGTGTAGTAGTTAGCAACCCTGACAGCACATCAATTGCCTGGGGTCCTAACCTTCTGAGATCCTGATGTAAATGATCTAGGGTAGGCCCTGGGCATCTGGATTTTTTTAAATCTCAGGTGTACAAGTAGGGCTGAGAACCACTGGGTTACTTGCTTCTTAACATTCTTAAATCAAAGCTACAGAATCACTATCTGACGGATTTTACACGCCACATGTCTATTTGTTAAAAGCACTGTGTTTGAAATGCCATTTTATTTCTATGATACTACAATAAATATCCCAGGGACTTGTTTAAGCTTGTGATGAAAATCAATCAGTCAATCAATAACAAAGACAAAAGGCCAGAAATTTTGCCTTAAGACTCCTGGTTTAAAACATGAAAAGAAAAATGTCAACTTCCTTCTCTAGAGGAAAAGAAAAAAAACGTAATCTATGCCAGACAGATGGCTGGATAGTCACAGATAGAAGTTAACCAAAGCATGCCTACATCTTTATACATTCCGCACCTGCCCCAGTCTAGATTAGCTACTCCTTGACAATGCTTTATAGCTCTATTTATATTCCTTGACACAGCAGAAAGAATCAAATGAAGAATGTCTCAATTTATTATCTCCTGTGTGAGAGAGAAGGAGAGGAAAAATATCAGAGGCTTCCTTATTTACCAGGACTGCCTCAGCAACTATAAAACAATGTTCTATTCTATTGACATTATCTCCAAAACACTCCTACTTCCCTCCTCCACTTGAGAATAATTTCAATGCAGCAGAACATTATCTTCAAAGGGGTATGTTTATGTACACTGGAGATAATGTCAAAGCAATGGAACATTGGCAAAGGATCACAACTCTAATTCTTTCACCAACTCAGAAGCCGTATTTTAAAGGGAATTTAGAAACCAATAGGGAGAGTAACCAAAAAAAAAAAAAAGGTCACACAAAATATTCATAGCTCATGATCACACAAATCTAGAACAATAATGGCATAAAGAAAAAAAAAAGTTGTAATCCTTGGTATTACTGGATAACGAAACAAAGTAAGAGTCTGAATTTGAAAAGACCATGCTTCACTTCTAGGTCTATAAACTATAGAAATATGTGCACATATGTATCAAAAGATGGGTAAATGAACTCCCAGGCCCCTCACAATGTTCTACTTCTTGAACTAGGCCATAGCTACCCAGGTATAACATTGCAGTAAGTCATTAAACTCACCATTCTCGTTTTTAGCACTTTTCTGTTTTTTGTATTATATTTAATAACATTTTATTTTAAAAAGGCACTTCTGAGGTTTTGCACATGCTAGTCCTCCACTGTCTGGAAAAACCTCCTTCTCCACTGCCTCGATAGCAAACATCCTCCAGGCCTCTTGCCTTTGGGAAGAAGCCTCCACTTACTATCCCAGGCCAATATGGGGGCTCTTTCTACTTAAACTTCCATCACAGCCGGTAGATGCAGCAGTGTCCATTGTACAAACCTCATCTATTTGGGTCTCTGTTTATCCACTAGATTAAACGAGAGCTCTGAGACAGCGTCCTTTTATCTACGCATCTGTGGGTACCCAGCTCTCAGCACCTCCTAAATACTCCCTTGGGTGGATAAAAAAGCAGTTTTAAAACATTACAGACTCAATTCTTCATCAACTTTCTTCTTAACTTTCTCCAGAATTTCTGCAGATAATATTCCATTCCAACAACCAAATTTCCAAAGGAAAAAATAATAACTAGACCAACCAACCATCAAAAAAAAATTAGATCATTTCAACATGTTAGTTTTGAAATTCTCTTTTCGCTTCAGATAAGATTAACAGGCAGAATTGAAGCTTCTGTTTTTTTAATTGTTGAGCCAGCCACTTCCCCAGACTTAGGGCTGCATTGGCAAATCACAGTTAACTAGAACACAATTAACCGGAACAAGAACTATAAATAGTAGAAATGAATCCTACTATCCAGATGACTTCTCAGTCCTTCAACTTGCTCTTCCCTCACATGTGCCAGGCCTCCACAGACCTGCACCAATCAAACAAGTAGATCCAAATTAACATGCATAGGATTCCAAAATAGAAAAGAAAAAGAAAACTGCATGCCCCACCCCCTCTGGCTTTTAAGACAACTTTTATTCCTCAGCATGGAATTGAATGTTAACCTTTCAACTCTTAAATTGCCTCAATTAGCCTGAGTTTCATATGACATACTTCAGAAGATAGCGAAAGAGGAAGTAAACTTTCCTTAAACTGCCTGATCATTTTTTCAGTACCACATATCTGTTTTCTTTTCAGTAGCCTGATGCTACGGTTCACAAAGTGCTTCATAAACCAAAGCCAAGGAAAGAGTTTCTGAAACCAGGATCCTGTCCTCTGGTTCCATGTTTCAAAGAAGAGGCAACCAGACCTATATTTGGGAGTGCCCATTATGGCCAAAGTCAACCTGTGTTGTGTTGTGTGTCTTCGCCTTCGCTCTCCTCTCACACAGATGTAGACTCTAACACGTAGCTGGGAAGGAAAGCACAAAGGTATGCCCACCTGTAGCCCAGTCCTTGGATCAGCTTACTTCCCAGCCGGTCCTGGATCATTTGTATGGTTCCCTGTAAAAGGCTTTTGGCTGCTGAATCTCCGACTGCTATAGCAACTATCCGTCCTGGATCTTGGACTCTCAGAAATTCCTCAAGTTCTCTGCTCTGGTTCTGGTATTCATGGGTATCAAACCTCACGCTTTCCAAAATTCTGGCTGTGTCTTGGTCAATGACCCTCACATTGAGGCCCCTGGAAAAGTCCTTTTCAAAGGCATAGGAACCATTGATCAAGCCTGAGGAGTGCAGAGTTCTCGCCAATAATGTCCACGACGCCTTCTGAGCCCCGTGTAACTCCAGTGTCCCGCCGGCTTCCACACCAATAAATTTTTTGCCAAATGTTGGCATACTTTCACCTTCATCTGACTTGCCGTACAAGGCAATTGTCGCTTTGGATTTATAGCGGCATCTTTCTGCTCCAATATGAAGCGCCCCACCATCCTTGATCAGGATGTAACGAGTCCTCAAAGTAATATTTCTGGATCCCTCTTTATCATCCCCAAACACAAGCAGTCCTGCAGAGAACAATACTAGTGTTAGCCAATTTCTGAAACAGCTTTCCGAGATACAAGGAAATAGATTTCACCTTTGAGAGAGGGGGGGAAAAAAAAGATAGATCCAAAATTAAGTTGGAAAAAAGAATTTACTGAGTCTGCTTAGAAAATTAAACTAATTTTCAAAACACAGTAAAGGAAGAAATGAAGAGCTCATATCTCAACACACTAAAAATGCCCATGCATATGAATTTTAATCCATTCGCTTTAGAGGTAAATAATTTCTAGAAAGTATCTAAGAGCCTACAAATGTGAATCTCATTTTTACATATATTAACTCATCACTCTACATAACTGTAACAAAGATTCGATTATGAGAAATCACCTTCTGGAACTACTTCCTTTTCTATAGACTGAAGGTCTTGATGAGTGATTTCTAAGGCCTTTCTCGTCCTTGAATACTATGGTTCTACCTTAGGAACTTATCACGTCTCTGTGGTTAGAGTGATACCACATCCTAAAGACGAGGATAGTTTTCTACGTAAAGAACATCACGTGTTCCTGCCTAGTAAGGAGCAACCTTGCTATTCCTACAAACAGGGACCATTACTTGCCTCCATCCTGAATGACAATAGAATTCACTGTGGCATCTGAGGTCAGACAGAACATATCTCCCTCCTTAATAACAACTTGCTTTGCAGAATCTTGTCCTGGATCCCAGTTCCTGAGACGAGGGTTTTGATCTGGGCAATTCTCTATAAAGCAATGTAACATCATTATCAAATCAACTCAACAAAATGCAAGGATATCCTTAGCCAAATCCAAACACTAGTATCATTCATTGCAATCTGCAAGTAATGGGGCTGATATATTTTAATTTCCTGACATAAGGATGGAAATCCCATTCCATCTCACCCAGCAGAGATATGTCAAATCTTTTTACTGGAAAAAAGAATTTACTGAGTCTGCTTCACACGTTAAAAAAAGTTTCACCACAAACCTAAGTTGCTATCATCTCTTCGGATCAAACTCCTCAAGGTAAAAATGGAGTTCCTCTGAATCATCTACTCTGGAAATAAATCAACAGTAAGAGGCAAAACTGTGCCCTGTCCTTGAACTCACACTAGACAGCTGTTTTAGAAAAGAAAATATGTTCACAAGATACTGGTAAACAAAAAATGGAAATTGTTAAGCAATATGTCTATCAGGTTCCTTCCTGTGCACTAGGCAGTGGCTGGTAAATAAGTATCACTATCTTCAGACACATATCCTTTTCCCAGTAAAAAACTGCAAGAGGCAAATGGCCTAAGACGTGACTTCTCATTTTCAGAGATGAGGAAACCACAGATTAGAGAAGCCAAACCCAAGATTACTCAGCAAGATGAGAGATAATGGAAGTTTCCCTTTAAGAAATGAGGTTTACTCCTTTACTAGAATTAGAACTTGCCTCTTGAATAGGCGATGATTAAAATATAAAAGTATTCTGCTTTGCAACAGCTATTTAATGCATGGGACCTTTAGTTGCTGCTAAATCTGAAAGAAGAGGGGAGAAAAATCACACAAATTTGGATCAAATAACAACCAAGTATTTATTGAGGATCAATTTGTCCACCCTGCACTAGACACTGTAAAATTTATTTTAAAATGTTATATATATATATGTGTGTGTGTGTGTGTGTGTGTGTGTAATATATCATTGAATTGTACGCTTGAAACTTATTTGATTTTATTAACTGATCTCACCCAATTGTGTATACACAGAGTTTATAATCTAGCTTGGAGAAAAAGGCCACCATGTATGAAATAACACTGAATAATGTGATAGTTATTTGAGGTGCAAAAGAGTCTAGAGAAAGGAGGGGTGGGGCTGAAGTGCCTGAGGCAGCCTCAGTGAAACAGGTGACACTAGACGAGATTCCAAAGGGTGGATAGTATTTAAATAAGAATAATACTGGTGATCCAAGTACACTCTGCTATCCAAATCCATTCAGCTGCTCAAGTTGGAACAGCAAGCTGGAGCCCATACTTAAACTAAGCAATGGTAGGAATAGGCAAGATATGCTTGGGAATCATGAAGGTGGAAGATACACACGGGAAATAATATGAGCAAAAGTAAAGAGGCTGGGTACAGCACAAAGATTATTTTTTATACAAAGAAAATTCTGATTCCTCTTTTTGAACTAATATATCTTATTTCTAAGCACTCGTGTTGCCCTAGGCTTATGCTTTCTTTTTGAGGTAATAGTAACTACTACAGTTAAAATTAGTCTCGTTAGTCAAGTCCTTGGCAGTTATTTCATGAAACTTTTCTCATTGCAGTTTCGTAATTATTGATATTTAATTCTGATAAATCAGTGATCACCACTATGATACCAAGAATAATCCTTAAACTTTTTTTCCCCATCGAAGAAACAAGAAACCTCTTAAATTTGTTCTGACTTAATACTGAAGATTTCTTGAACTTTTCTTCTACCTCCCTCTCTTCCCATTAAACATCTAGCTGGAAAATTCTCCATAATGTTATATCAGAAGCAAACGTATGCCCCATGTAACAAGCACTGTACCCAGCTACGGAGAAAGAAATCCAGTCTTTTGAGATCTAGAGCCTACTACAATAGTTACATAATTCCTCTTAATTTTTATAATTATTCCCTGGGAGAGCATGCTTCATAGAACCAACACTATAAACTCCAGGTTGCTTCCTTCCAGTAAAGTACATTTAATGAGAATCTGTGTGGTCTGCAGAAAGCACTGAAAAATAGCTCAGCCAGCCCCATCTGCCCGGCTACCCACTTGTTAAGCAGTGCGTGCATTGTCAAAGTTATATAAGAGCAATAACCACAGTGAGGCTCACCCTGAAATATTTCAGCATACCAGATCTTTCCACTGATATTCTGACTGCCAAAATATGAAACTAAAGAATGTTGATTCAAGGAACCAGATCAACAATTCAATGGCTTAGATGGAATATGAAAACGTCAATTAAAGCCACAGATTTCAGCTCTAATTTTCCACTAACCTAGCATCCCTTTACTGCAAATTACTTGGAAAGAATGAATCAACAGCAGTTAAGTTGGTTATTCTGATGGAGAAAAGGGGAGAGAAAGTCAGTGCTATGTGCAATGAAAAGCAATGTTACAAGTTATCTGTAACACTGTTATGTGGTTTACTGCCATGGTCAACAAAGATGTTGATATGAACATCTATCTCTGTTACTTCAGGTCTATTTAGAAGCATTGACACTACCTCTCCCCAGGACTCTAAAGTCTATAAAACCCTTAAAGCAGCCAGGAACACTAAATAAAATATTTGTAAGTCTTATAAATGGTAAAATGCTTCTCAAATGTTCTATCTATTTAAGGAGGCATCCGATTTGACAAAAAATCTGTTGCAGACTGTAAAAAAATGCAGACAACTATGGTGCCCAATCCAAGCTCTTATCTGCTTCACCTTCACAGGCCTGATTTTCACGTGGATGGATGGGATTCTATTATAAGCCCATTCTTTGTTGGTACCACATTGAGGCTGACTGAAAACAAACTTCTTCAAAATCATCCAATATATTAATATTTCCAACTTGAAAAGCAAAGGCCATTTAAAAAATTAAAACCTCACTACATGATGTTTAACTATGAAGTAATGAGTGATTTTTTAGACAAATGTATCAGAATTTATGCCTCCTAATGGATGTCTTCCTTTAATGATATACATTGTTCCTCAAAAATATTTCAAGCTTCTTTTTGGAACTGCCTCTCCAGCCAGTTGTAAACCGCAAAACACAAATATTATTTTCACTTATTTTTTAAAACTCAAAAGTAGTTTATCACTACAGTTAGTGATTTTTATCACTAAAAACTTTTGGCAGTCTGAAAATCATACCTCCCACAAAGGATGAAATTGTGCTACCACAAGAATTCAGTAAAGACTTCAAATTAGCATTCTGAAAAAGAAATGTTCTAAGAACATCTCGAGCACTGGGAAAAAGTGGCAAAATGGAAAGGAAGAGTGATCCTTTAATTTTATCATTTCCAATGAATTCCTTTAATAACTGCTCTCATTCATAACAAATTATACTTCACATTATCTATTAGTTAGCTAGAGCTGTCTTAACAAAAGATTTTTCAAAGTTTCATTCTATTATGTCCTTCCCTTCTTTCTTCTCCTAGAATATGTTCTATATGCACGCATACATACACACACACACACACACATACACGCACAAACACACACACACACACTTACCATCTGGAGCATATTTTGAGGATATCCCTAAGATGATTGCAAGTGCAACAAAAAATGAGAAACTAGTAATAGCAAAGCAAATGAAAGTATTTTTGTGCCTCTTCTGCTTTCGGCTCTCTCCCTGGGCTTGCTGTTCTTCAGATGAGAAAGCAAAGCTGGCCCGGGCTTCGTGTCTGATGGAGGGATATTTGGTTGGAGCTTGACTCTTTGGAGGAGGAGGGGGACGCAGTGGGACAACCTTCCCTGGAATGTAGCCAGACGAGCGATGGCCGTTTCCATTATGAGGTTGCAGAAAAGCAGGGGAGTGTCCCCTGGAATCAGTGGCATGCATGATACACTGTCACTGTGAAAAGAAATAAAATAAGGCTCAGAAATGTGAGAACTGGAACGGTTTGTTTTTATTACGTTTTATGGTAGTAAAATATACACAACACAAAACTTTACCATTTTAACCATTTAATGTGTATAGTTTGGTGGCATCAAGTACATACGAAATAGTACACAACCATCATAACCATCCATTTCCAGGACTTTTTCATCATCTCAAACAAACTCTGTAGCCATTCGGCAACAATTCCTCGTTTCGATCCCCCACCCCACAACCCCTACTGCCTGGGGGTCAAGAAGTAATGACTTCTTGAAAATATCAAGTCAGCTCATATTCCTGTGTGGATGGAAAACACCAAAAATAACCTCACAGGGTGATCTGATCATAAATTCCTAACTGGGCAGGTTATGATGGGTAGTCACACCCCAGGCACATAACTTCTTTAGTGAAAGGTTATCTTTGCCTTAATTAAGCAAGACTATCCATTGGTTCTGTGCATCTAGACTAACACACCTTTGAAATGCCTCTTTTCAGACCCCTCACTACACCCTCAAGAGAGCACATAATCTTCACTATCCTGTAATCCAATCTCTACCTTGCTTCCTCCCACCTTCTCATAATCTTCCTTACTTTTTACCTCCTTAATTCAAAATGCATAAGAGCTGCTGCAAAGTGCTATCCTAGGGAACATTTTCTTGTCTGTGGAGCTCTTCCATGTGTATCCTATTTGGTTCAAATGAATTTTTTGAAAAATTCTCTACAGGTTTGGCCATTCTTATATCAACGCCTGATATAATAAACTACGTGGACAATTACCTGCATTAGTCCTCTTCTAATAACCACTCTTTCTCAGTCCTGCAGGGCAACACTTCAAATGATTAAGACAGTATCCAAGCTCCTGTATCTTTCTCATGTCTCCTTACCCCAAGGAACTCTAACGAGCACCTAGGCTGAGAGCCACTGTTCTCTGGCAAATGTTCTCAATTTTCTCTGTGCATAAGAACCACCAGGGAAGCTTGTTAAAAATGTAGATTCCTGGGCTCTTCACTCCAGGAATTTTGGCTCAGTTGGTGCAAAGATAGCCCTGGATTATACATTTTTAAAGCATACCACTGAAGCAGGTGGTCATACTTTGAGCATCATTATTCTAAGTCCTTTAAATTGAAGTTAAAGTCTACATGCCATATAAGAACCACAAGGAGGCCCTAACAAGTTGCAGTAGACAAAGCATTCATGTTTAGCCTTTAATTTTCCTACCAGATTCACCCTGTGATGAAGCAACTTAAGTATTTCTACTTGTATTATCACTAACCACAGACTGAGAATTCATTTAGTGAGAAAGGCTAAAGTCCACGTTATCTTGTGATAGCCTGCTGAAATGTGAAAGGGTTAAAGGATAATTAAAACCTGAAACTGGACAAAGGAAGTCTATACCTTAGGGCTAGTTTCTGGAACCCCTAACTACATTCTGTTAATCATGAAATTTGTAACAATGAGCTCATACGCTAACTGCCAATTTTAGCCTGTGTAACTCTGATTGCTTGCGTGGCATGAAAAATAA